AAAAGGGGATGGCCCTGACTGGCTGTGGCCAGTTTCTGTCTTTGTGGACTGTAATCCCTGTGTGTCGGAGTTTCTGATCTTCTAGAGAGTTTGGAATTCAGGAGTTTAAAATGAAATCTCTGTATTTAAATCTCTGAGGGCCAGCCCCGCACACTCCAGAACAGGTGAGCAGGCTGAGTGGGCCCTGGGTGAGTTTGGAGTCGCACACCTGCAGCTCCGCTTCTTGGCTTGACTTTCTCCGAGACAGGGAAGCAGGACAAAGTCAGTGGTGGCCACTGACTTGGGGGCGTGGGAAGGAGAGAGGCGAGGACGCCATGCTGGGTCCTGGGTAAACTCCCCCTTTCAAAAACTGATAGTTTATTTTTATAGCACGCCCGTCGCATGCACCTCCCTCCCTGCAGCTACTCCTGCGTTGGGGCGCCTTCTCCAGTCATTTCCTCCTTTGGCGGACAAAGGAGCCCGAACGAGGTGATACAGCAAGTAACTGCCTCGTTACTCTTCCCCCCGACCAGTTACCAGAGCCGTCCACGTTCTTACCACGCCATGTGAGACGGACTTTAGCGGCCTCGCGAGGACAGGTCTGTTTTGGTTTCACCCCGTCCGCAGCGCCTAGGCCGCCCGGGGGTGGGAGATGCTCAGCGAGTCGCTCTGAGTGATGGGTGGCGCACGCCCATTATTGGCTCCCAGTGGGGCCTGTCTCTTCGTGACTGTACCCAGCGCGTGAGGCGCCGCTGTGTGCCTCGAGCTCTACACAGCTTAGCTGGTGGTGTTGGTCGTGCAACCGTTGACATTGGCCTGGATCGTTCTGGGGGCTGTCCTGCGTACTGCACCTTGGCTCCTACCCACCCCTGCGCAGCTGGGACAACCAAAGATGTCCCTGGACAGTGTCAGGTGTCGCTGGGAAGCAAAATGGCCCCTTGTTGAGAGCCGCTGAGCTAGTGGGCTTAGCGAACAGAGAGGTGACGACGCATTTTAGGATTTTCAACCCTCAGATACAGGCTGCTTGGAGGAAATATCTTACTGAACTGTTGTTTGTGCTTGTGCCCCTCCCTCCCTGATTCACCCCCTCTTCTTCACGGGAGACCAGGGTCCTCCCTCTGCCATTGACCCTGGAGCAGCGCTGTCATAGAACATTCTGTGTTGGAGGTAGTGCCTGCCTTGTCCAATATGGCGGCCACATATGTTTCTTGAGAACTTGAACTGGGACTCCAGTGACCGTAGAGTGAACTTTTCATTGTATTTGATTTGGATAAATTTGACTTGAAATAGCCACATGCGGCTGATGGCCCCCACAGTGGGCAGGGTAGGAAAGGCAGTCTCTGGGACACCCCCAAATGGCCCACCCTTTCTCAGTGTGGCCCTGCTGAAAATCAGATCAACAGCTGTCTGAGGACACTGCTCTGGTTGTTGTGGGGCTCCTCCTGAGCTTGCCTCCTTCTGTTGCCTCCCAGCTTCCCAGCTGGGAAAGTCATCTAGGGAGCTGAGACCTGACGGAGGCCTGGAGGAATTGGACTGCCCTTCGGCTGAGGCCTCCTGAGTGTGTTTGCCTGTAAGTCCTGTGGGGTCCGATTTGGGGATTCTGGCTTGCAGGGGAGGCCTGATAAGAGGAGGGGGTTTTCCTTTAGTTTCTTTTCAAGAGGCACATCCCTCCTGTGACACAGGCCGTCCTGACCTGGTCCTGCCCCTTTGGAGAGCGTTGGGGGCCTGGTGGTGGAGAGCCGTGTACACCACAACCCTCACTTTATCTGACGCCCATGTCTTCTTGGGGAGGCTGCTTTTTGCCCCACCTGTACTCGCCTGCATGGCTATGCCCTCCTCTGCCTCCCTGGGCAGCTTAGAGGTGGCCCCGCTGCGCCTCTTCTGGGCCTTGAACCCTTGTTGGTGGAAGCCTCCCAAGCGCCCCGAGTAGCCCTGTCCCCGGCGTCTTCCCCGGGGTGGGAGCTTTGGGAGGAGGGTTCGGGGAACCGGGCCGCGGTACTTTTGATTCTGTGAGGGCAGCATTTGGGGTGTATGTGTCGATCCATGGCTTATTTCAGATCCCAACCCGCAAAAGAAGGGCTTCCCCAGAGTGTCCTGCTCCTGCCTCCTTTCCCGGCCGTTACTTCATCCGAGCGGAGGGATGACAGAATGTCTGAATGTTTGAGGACTTTCCGCAGTGCCTTTGTTCGAGGGCTGGGTGACACAGGCGAAGCACCATCTATAGAGTGGGATTCTCTTGCCAAAAAACAAAAAAACAAAAAACCGATCAGACTGCAGAGTTCTTGCTGGGCGGTAATTAATGCAAAACGAGAGCGGGCAGTCAAGCCCCTTGGCTGGGACTGAGAGGCCTGGCGTGGGACCCCGCGCAGAGGGCACGGAGCTAAGGGGAGGCCGCAGTGGCGGTGCAGCTCGTGGTCGGAGCGGCAGGCCGGTCCAGGCTCGCCCCTCACCCCCACCCCGTGATGCCATTTCTAAAGAATGTCATTGTTCGGCCTCTTCGCTCCTCTTGGCCAGTGTGGATTTCCCTCTCCCATTTCAGTTGAATTTACTTCTTCCGCCCATTGTTATAATTTGTTTCTTTCCCCCCCAAATCCTTCCTCAAAACCTCCCCTTTTAATTTTTAAATATCCCTTCCTGTCCGTCGTATTCGGTAGTAAGCCAAGAACGAAACTTTTGTGATACTGTATTTGATTTTTTACAGGACTATTTTCAGTCCCTCCTCTAGTTGTCCGGGCACCTTATACAGGGTGAGGCGGCGAGCGCCCGCGACGCCCCTGCGACACCCCCGCGGAGCCCCTGCGGAGCCCCCGCGGAGCGGGCCTCATGGAGGCTCAGGCCGTGTTACCTCGCAGCAGAAAATGGCTCATGCGTGCTTAGCCTGGAGCCATGGCGGCCCTGTTTCGAGAGTGTTCGCCCAGGGGTGGTTGCTCCTGCCCGTGGCTCTGGGGACCCTCTAACTCTTGCTTGGGGCCCCTTCCCCCAGTTCCACGGCTTCTCCACGTCTCCGATACCCCCTTCCGCGTGTGGGTCTCACCCCTTGGCGGTGTGCCCCTGAACCCAGCTTCCTCTTGGTAACATGGCGGCAGTGGTCTCAGGCCCGCCTCCTGCGCGGGTGCGCCTCGAAGGGGCGTGTGCCGCTCCCTCTGGCTGTTCGCTGGAGCTGCTGGGCGGCAGGTGGCAGGCCTGGTGCCCACCCCCCCCCAGCTCCGCTGGCAGCTGCCAACCATTGGAGGCCAGAGCGGACTCGGGGTCTCCTCGCGAGGGCCCTGCAGAGCTCTATGTCCAGGATGCCATTCCCAACTCAACAAGCCTGAGTTTCTGATGGCGCCCAGCACCTTTTCCTTCCAACCCGGATGGGGAAGCCGCGCGTGAGGAGCCGCCAGGTGCTCCCTTGGTCCAGTCTGTTCAGCCTCAGCCCCTCACATCTGCTCCAGCGTGTCCCGTCGAGACAGCGCCGCCTGCAGACAGCTGTAGGATGCGGTGCCATCTGTGCACTGGCAGACTCCGTTGGCCTTGTCAAGCAAGTCTTGCCTCTGTGCCCTGGAACCCCCTTCCTGGTGGCCAGGCCCCCAGTATGCAGTAGCTCAGAGGTCGGCTTGGTCAGAACAGAAGGGTCAGAACAGAGGGGTATGGGAGGTCTTTGGAGCCGTTTCCTTAAGCTTCGGCGCCTGCTGAACTGCCGTCCTTCCTTCTAAGGCAGGTGTGACTCGGCTGGCCACGGCGTGCTTGCTGCAGTGCGCTGGCCCCTTCGGGACTTGAATCTCATACCCCCTGCTCATCCCTGCGTGACTTGGGGCCAGGCCGCTGTCACACCTGTGCTCCCCGGCCTGGTTCTTGCAGGCCCCACTTCTCGTAGCTGTGGCCTTTGGCTGCATCTTATTTGGGAGGCTCTCGCGGCGGCCTGCTTGACCCTCTCTCTTTTCCTGTTTTGACCCTCACTCTGGCTTCTTACAACCATAAGCTTCGAATGCAGAAGCCTCGCTGTCGTGCTGGTTCTGACGGGGTCCCCAGCTCTGACTGCTGCCAGGAGAGGCAGAGCCGTGTCGTCCAGCTGGAACATTTCACGTGTTCGCAGTTCACACTGGTCCCCCGGGTCTGCCCCTGGCTGTGGTGTCTCAGTTGCCCATGGCCTGGGCCTGGCCCCGAAGGCGTGGGAGGATTGAGCTGGTAACATTCAGCTTATCGGGTCCCATGGGTGCCGGTCAGTAGGCATTTATAGAGCACCATGGGCATCGCCTGCAGACTGTTCTGGGTGTGGCCGCCCGACCCCAGCGGTCTTGTCAGTCATGTCCTCCTGGGGCGCGGGGTGGGGGTGGGGGGCTCTACTTAAAGGACCCTGTCTGGAAACCTTTTACCTTATCTAGCTCTGCATCAAGCCGAGGTCCCCGTTGTCAGATTTGCCCCTAACAGAGAGGGCTGCAGAGAAAGTGCTTTTGTTGCTTTTCCCCAGAAAACAAGAAGGAGGCTTTGCCACTTGGGGTTCCGCTGGGTCAGGACGGCAGGCTGCTTCTCCCGGGCATCTCCTCCATTGTTACTGGGCGGGGCTTTTCTGGGAAGGTTACTGCTTCCCTGCCTCTGGCACTGATAGTTGAGTCTTACAGATACATTTGAGAGGTTTAAGCTGGAATGTTCGGAAACTGAAAATTGAAGGGGGGGGGGGCGCAGATGTGTCTGGGAAACCAGAAGAAAACAGAGGCGCGCTCCCAGCTTTGCGGAAGACCCACAGCCCCTGTCACCACCTCATTAAACTCCAAGAAGGTGCTTGTTTGACCTGTTTTGTAACCGTCTGTGTCTATTCTCGTTGGTATTTAAAGTTGCCCTTTGAGACAGTGATGCTTTTAATTGTGAGTTTACCGATACTGTTACTACTGGTTATTATTTAGGCAAAGGTGGTGAAGCAGAAGCAGTTCCTTAACCAAGATAATGTGTGACTTTACATTACAACCAATTCTGGAGTCGGTTCAGCAAACATATGAAATGAACCTAGTCCTCAAATTTGTTTTCCCATTTTTATTTTGCAGGATAACAAAACCATTGACCTTTGCTGATTGTGTTGGGGACGAACTTCCTTTAGGATGGGAAACTGTCTATGATAAACAAATTGGAATTTATTACATGGACCACATAAATAGTAAGTAGTGTCACATTTGAGTTATTACATGTGATTGAATTTTCATGTTGATCTCAATGAAGTTGAAAACTGTAGAGCTAAACAATCGGTACTGTTCGATGAGGCAATTAACTGGATTTTACAAATATAATCTGCATTTTTCTTTAGCGGAGTCTTCTGAGAGGACAGTAGGTGCACGTTTACCTCGCTGTGTCTTGCTCAGGACAGCGTGGAGTCTATTGAATAGAGGCTGCTGATATCTGATATAAGGACACATTTCCTGGGCAGTCTGCACGCAGAAGAAAATACCTCTCATAACGAGAAGGTTGTTTCTTGCAAAATGGAGCATTTAAGTTCTTGGAATAATAAATGCCCAAGTGGTATCTTAACTTCATTTTATCTTATGCATTGAATCTTCCTTAGCCTTAGCACGCCAGCCATGTTTGATCTTTGTGAAGGGAGAAATGCTGTAAAAACCAGCGGTGTGGCCAGGCTTCTTACTGCTTTGTTTAGAACACTGCTTCTCAGCCTGGATCGGCTTTGCCCCTAGGGACTGGGTGATGCTCGAGGCAGTTTGGATCCTCAGGCCCGGGAGAGGTGCTGCAGGCACCCGAGGGGCGGGGGGAGACCCGCACGCCGCTAGCACCCTACAATGCACAGTGCACAGGGTGCAGCCACCACGGAGAGTGAGCCGACGCCATGTGGCCATCGGGCCGAGGGGGATGCTCCCATTTCTTTCCGGATCTGCCCGCGTGTTTCTCTCTCTTCACTACCATGGACAAGAAGCGGGGCCTTAGCTCATGTCTGGCCTAAGTGTGGGGAGGCTGGCACGGCCTGAAGAGGCTCGATGACTACCTGTGAGTGGTTTCCAAGCTCCTTCCCCACCCGGTCCCGAGGTGCCTCTTGTCTCCTCAGCGTGAGCAACTCGGGTGGGTGTCTTCTGGACCAGTCCCCTGGTTGTCGCTGGCGAGCGGGTCGGCCTTCAGAAGCCTGGGTGGCAAGACCGTGGGCTTCCTGGCACGTGGCGCCAGTCTTGCTCTCAATTGCAGCTCCTACCATGGAGATCAGGCCTTCCGTGAGACAGCGGGCTGGTACTGCCCGGCCCCGCTCCTCCCAGGCCGCTTTCCAAGTGGTAGGAGGCCTTCAAGGTGGATCTGCCACTCCCTGGACTGGGGACAGTGCTGAGGCCCAGTGACCTGGTGCTGTTTGTGAGTTTATTTGAGGTGTCTGGCATCTGGGCTGGCCTTCCCAGCTGCTGGCAGGCTGTTTCCATAGGCGAGACCCCTCTGGCAGGGGAGGGCTGTGCCCTGCGCCAGGGCACACGTGCATCACCTCTGTGGCCAGGTGCGGCCTTCCCAGGCCCAGCTGTTGTTACTGTGCGCCCTAGGCATCTGCCTTACACAACCCTTCTGGAAGGCCTGCCGCTGAGCCCAGGACCCGTTCTGGCTCGTCTGTCTCGTAAACCCAACCTGCTCATCCTCCGTGCCCCCTTCTTCGCTTCAGGGGATCCTGCTCGCCTGCCGGCTTGCTGAGTCACCACCAGCATTGTGGAGCTGCCTCTCTTTGTGGAGCTGGCCACTATCTTTAGGCCCTGGGGACACAGGCAAATGAGCCCCAGTCTCCACCCTCCAGGTTTCCACACAAGACTCTAGAAGTGACTGTGAGCCCTAAAACTGAGTAATTGCTGAAGACTTTTTCCTGGCCAATTAAATCATGGGGCCATGGGGAAAAACACCAGCTTTGGGTCAGACTACCTTTCTCCTCTGGGATCTTCAGAGAACCTAACTCTTGGTAGCAGATCTACAGTCTTATCCTTTCCACCACAGATATGGCAGTAGAAGGAGTCCCACGCTCTAGGAGGGCTCTTTCGGTAGACGCGTCCACGGCGTGCAGCCTGGCAGTTAACTCATTTCCTGTCGACTAGTTACATGACCGCAGCCGTCACTTAAGTCGCTCATCTTCTTACCCTTTTCATTTCAGAACTGACCCAGATCGAGGACCCCAGGGAGCAGTGGAGGCGAGAGCAGGAACGGATGCTGAAGGAATATTTAATTGTAGCCCAGGAGGCTCTCAATGCCAAGAAGGAAATCTACCAGATTAAGCAGCAGCGGTTCGAGCTGGCTCAGGAGGAATACCAGCAGCTGCACAAACTCTGTGAGGACGACAGCCGCTCTTACGCCAGCTGTGAGTTCACTGTCTCCTACGGTTGACACGCGGGATGCTAAAAGCATCTCTGCTAGGCTGTGTGCAGACACTGAGTTCTATTCGGGCACGGCAGCTTCCTAAAGCCTCTAATCGCACAGTTAGGTGATCAGCAGTCCTCCCTGGGACCAGATGGTTATACGGTAGCCGCTTCCTTAGCAAGTGTTTATCAAGTGCCGGCCTCGCGCCCAGGTTCTGCAGCATGGGGGCGCCTAAGAAGGAAAGGTCCCTGCCCTCACGGAACTTACATGTAGGCCATAAAGGTGGTTGACGAATGAGCACACAAACAGATTTTGAGGAAGTGGTGTGAAACACCCCCGGGTCCCGTGTGCGTCAGTGTGGAAAAGGTTTCACCTGGAGACTTGGGTGAGTGCGGCTTGCTGTGGGGGAGCCTGGGGAGGGCCACACATCGTTTTGCTGCACCCGGATGGAAAGACTGCACAAGTGCATTATAACATTAGCTGGGTCTCAGGTGTTCATCATGGAGAATCAGCATGTGTATAGACGAAATTAAATTCACCACCAAGAGTCCAAATCTGTCCTTTCCATACCACAGTCACCTTTTCCCCAATTTACCCTCCCCTTTCCCTTCCTTGTGGTAAACACTTACTGCTCCCATAGTATTAAATTTGTTTTTTTTTTTAATTTCATCTGTTTATTTTCTCTATATGCTACATGTGCATGAAAGCCTATGGTGTTTCTTTTTCATTTCACTAGCATAATACCTTCTAAGTCCACCCATGTTGTTGCGGATGGCAGGATTTCATCTTTTTTATAGTTGTGTAGTATTCCACCATGGACTAGACCAGTCATCAGTTGACGGGCACTTGTATGGGCATCTTTTTTTATTGCAGCTGCTGTTGAAAGTAAGCCATACAGGCTGTGGAGAAGCCAGGTGGGGTTCCTCTCTGTAATAGGAATTTAAGATATTTCTGTTAACTCCAGAGCATGCCTGGACTCGGGTATAATGGTATGTTGTTTGCAGGTTATCTTATCTCTTGTTCTTTAGATATTGGTGCCACTAGTTTTTGTTTTGTTTCAAGTGTCCATCTAAATATGAGGGATCAGCTCCATGTTAATTTGTGGAAGTTGGTTTCTTATCTCCATGATTTTGTTTTCCCGTAATATCTTTCTCTAAGTTTGTTATCAGGATAAAACTGGCCTCATAAAATGAATTGGGAAGAGTTTGTGTGGGATTAGTATTAATGTTTTCTTAACCATTTGATAGACTTCACCAGAAAAGCTGTCTGGACCTGGAGCTCTTTGTAGGAATGTTTGTAACTGCAAAGTCAATACTTTGAATAGATATAAGACTATTTGGATTTCCTATTTTTCTTGATATTTGTGTTTTTCAAGGAATTTGTCTGTTTCTTCTAATCTAAAAGTCATTAAACTTTTCTATGAAGGGTCACATAGTAAATATTTTAGGGCCTTTGTCTCAGTCACAGGTACTCGACCTTATTGTTTACAATGCAAAAACAGCCAGAGACAATATGTAAAAGAATGTATGTAGCTTATTCTGATAAAAACTTAAAAACAGGTATAACATGCTGGATTTGACCTGCAGGGATTTTGCCAACTGCTTATCCAAATTGTCAGGTTTGTAAGGTTGGGTATAGAATTGCCTTATTAATTCTATTAATTTCTGGAGGCTCTGAGGTGGTGTCCTCATCCATTCCTAATATTAGAAATATGTGTCTTCTCTTTTCTTTATCGGTGTAGCTGAACTTTTATCAATTGAATTTATCTTTGCAATGAACTGACTTTTGCTTCCTCCCCCCGCCCCACCCACCATTTCTTGTCTCTTTCCTATTTTATTGACTTCTCTTTATTTTGTGGTTCTATTTGGTTTGACTTTAGTTTGGTCTTCCTTCTCTAGCTTCCTAAAGTGGAAACTGAGATAATCGATTTTAGACCTTTTTTATTTTCTTACATAGTTGCTAAAGGTATACATTCTCCTCTAAGTACAACTCTCATTGCATCCTACAAATTCTGGTTTTTTTCATTTTCATCAAGTTCAGATTACTTTCTCATTTCCGTTGTCATTTCGATTTTGACCCCATGGGTGCTTTAAAAGTAAATTGTTGGGACTTGTTCAAGATGTTATGTTGTCAATTTCTAGTTTGATTCCATTGTGGTTGGGAAACTACACTAGGTGTGATCTCAGTCATTTGTATTCTAGTGAGATGATTTTTCTGGCCTGGTATGTGGTCTCTCTTGGTGATCTCCTGGGATTGAAATCCCGTGGGCCTGGTGCCCCAAGATCATACCTAACTGAAGAAGGACATAGCAGAAAACCTTGGCAAGGAAGTTTCTTGCCAGCGATTTAAATGGACAGTTGAGCCAGGAGAAGTTGTGTCCTATGGACTGGCTACTACTGGCTCAAATATAGGAAAATCTGAGAGCAGGGGCCACGAGGGAGGAGGGCACAGGAGCTGTAGGCGAGGACTCCCCGGCGTCAGTTTCCACGGCCCCAGTTTCCACGGCCCCTCACCAGGGCATTTGGGCAGTGGGAACGCTTGCATTCTTGCTGTGCTCCACGGGGGTTTATTCATGCTCAGTAAAAGAGACACAGCCTTTGAAATGCATGGGGCAATGTCAGGAGAGGAAGCAGACGACTGTGGTGTGGACCTGAGATGCAGCGAGCTCATCACATTCCATTCCCAGCCCAGCCGGAGTCTTGAGTAGACACAATCTCGGCATCTGTTGGAGCAGGTAGCCTGGAGGCCAAGCTGGGCCTGCCTGTTTACAGGAAGGGCTGGAGATGCCAGTGGATCCTGCTGGGGCCTATCAGCTCCTCAGGGAAAAGACTCTGACTGGAGCCTGGGAACAGAGCCAAGGTGTTCATCGGGGTGCTGCTGTCCCGGGGTTTTGATCAGGCGCGTTCATTTTGCCGTTTAGCCTGAACTAGCAGTTCCAGCGAGGAAAGCTTTGTTAGATGGGGCTCGAGTGAATTATTTCTGGCCACAGGATGAAGTTCAGGACAGAGATCCTGTTGGCTCAAATCATGATCTAACAGGTGTCTCCTGCAGAGGGCCGGGCCCGCGGCTCTCACGCCGCCCAGAGCCCTCCCCGCGATCGTCATCCCAGGCAGGAGGCGTTGCCTTGTTCTGCTGCTGGGAACAGAATAACATTTGGATTTATTTCCCATCACTTCCTTCACTGGCAGCGAGTCAAAGTGAAAGGAAGCAAAATGGAATGAGCTGGTGTTTTTATACGCATTGTTGTGATTGCAGCATTGTGAATAGGCCCGTGCTGTTACTATCCTCGGTCACGGGGGAAACCGAGTGTTGAGCAGGCTTAATGGCTTCCTCAAGGTTGTCGCCCAGTAAAGGGTAGAACTTGGATTTGAACCCAGAGCTATTAGGGTCCGAGCTTCAGTGCTCCGTCCTGTTGTGGTTCCTAGCCATGGGAGAGGCAGCACTGAAGAGCCAATGGTGTTTTGGAATACCTTGCCCTCCCGTGCCAAAGTTATCTAGAAAACCCATTATAAGGTGACACGGCCTCTGGCAGTGTGGCGACACTAGGGGGCCAGTGGGAGGGAGACCACGTTCTACTTTGTGACTTTCTCCTGGCCCAGCTGGGATCGTTTAACTCTCATGCTGTTCTCACCAGACTTGTCAGGCGCCTGGTATTTGTGTGCGCTGAGTGTTGGGGACACCGTTTATCCCCAGTGGCTGACTGTAGGGGCAAATGAGGCAACAATGGTGAGGAGAGTAAGGAATAGAACTTCCATTTCTAATAGTGGGGCAGAAGGGGGCGGGGCATGCCTCTTGCCCATGCCGTTCACACATTACCCCCCCACCCCCCCGAGTGTTGTGGAAATCACCAGAATAAAACTCCTTTCACTGCAGAGGAAAGCTTTTGTGTCAATATTGGGCCATCTGGTAGCCAAGAATATCTAGGCCTGACTGTCTTTGGCCCTGACCAGAGCAAATTCAGATGCTTTGCTGGGTTTGAGCACAAGTGTCCCCACAAAAGTAAGAGACTCCGCTCTGCTTTATTCATGTGAAGCTGTGAGTGAGCTGCCCAGTGCCCGGGCCTCTTTCGCGCTTTCTGATTGCACCTGCTCTGTAGTGAATTAGTTCTGAGATCCACTGGTACCTTTTCTGCGGCTCTATTTTGTGGAGCTTCTCCTGCTTCTCCATCACAGGGTGCGCTCCTGGCCGCCTGCCTCGTCACACTAGGTACACACACTGTTTCAGACACATTTTCTCTGGAGTTAACGCTTTCATGCTTTCTGAGAAACTCAGGCCTTCAGATGTGCTCAGATGAAATGTGTGGCCATTTGCACCCCAGTTTTTGAGAAGAACTCCTGTCTGGGGTAAATGATAGAGCCACAGGTTAGCAAAGTACATAAGGCTGGGGGCTAAGTGCTGTCCGCTGGGGTGTTTGTCAGTAAAGTCTATTGGAACACAGCCGCGTTCACCCACTTTTTGTCTTTAGCGGCTACCGTGTCAGAGAGTCCAGACAGAGCTGCATGCCCACAAAGCCAAGAGTATTTGTGATCAGGACCTTTGCAGAAAAAGTCTTCCACCCCCGGCCTTCGGCCTTCGGCAGTGCTTTTCAACCCCGGCATCTCCTCACGGGATTCACAGTGCTCCTGCTGCCTCGGCCCTGCCCCCAAGGATTTAAATTTTATTGGCCTTGGGTAGGGCCAGGGGTGTTTTCAGCTCCCCGTGTGATTCCCAGAGCCAGGATCCACTCGTGGAGCTCATCTGCCACCTTGTCTTCCAGCAGCCGGAAGAGAACTTGGTTATCCTGGCCCCCAGGAGCCAGTCACCAACAGTCTCTCTCGGTGGCTGGGAAAGAGCCGGCCTTATCTCCCATGAGAAAGTGCTGACCCGCCCTGGATTCTTGGGGTAGGTGGTGGAAGCCTTGACCTTATCAGTCGGCAGTCCTGCCAGCATTCTTTCTGAGGCCCCAAGCCCATCCCACAGCCAGCCTCCCGTCCTTGTCTGCTGCAGCGCTACTCGCCTCCTATCTAGGTCAGGATAAGGGCCGCAGTCCAGCCACTCCGCCTTTTGTTTTCCTTCGTGCAGACATGTCGGAGCAGGCAGGAGCCGAAAGGATCACGTAGCTTTCCTCACAGGCAGCTCCATCGCAAAGGTCGCAGCAAAGCACACACACCTACCGAGAGCTAATCTCCTGGTCCTGGACTGGACTTGGTGGCATCTTGTGTCACCCTTGAGTGGGCCTTTTTGATTTTGGGGGGCCTTTGCTTATGCTTTCAAAGAAAATGCCTTGCCCGCCTTTGTGGCCTCGGTTATTTACGTGTGTGCCTTTGTTGTTGCTCCAGTAATTAGTACCTGTCAGCAGGGAAGCTGGCAGAGCTTCTGTCCTTTCTACCAATCCTCCTCGGCCCCCTCGAGTCACCCCTGACAGTGCCAGCGCCCAAGGATGTCTTTGGAGAAGGACGAGTGGTCTTTCTACACACCTGTGCGTAGGCCCTCACAGCATGGAGGAGCCTGAGTGTGAGAGACAGGCAGGCAGACAGACACAAGGACGTGTGTGTTCCCTTCTTCAGGAACCCACTGAGTGCTGAACATGCAGGGGGCGTTTGTCCATGGGCATCGGGCATGGGGGAACCAGAGGGCATTCCTTCTCATGTTGGAGGAACTAGTCTGGCTACAGGACCGTGGGTTGCTGACCCAGGGGAGCCCGCGCGCTAGACCCGAGCCCCTCTGATGGCCCAGCGTAGATCAAGTCAGTACACAGTCGTCTTTAATCTGGAGAGCCAGGAAACGCAATCATCGTCTCGCATACAGATTTTATGAGAATAGATGAAATAAACGTGAAAGGCACCCTGTAATAGCACGGCCTCGTAATTGGCATTGTAATGGTGCAGCCGAACGGCGGCCTTGTCATTACAGCATCCGGAGCGATGGTGTGTGAGCGACGCCTTCGGCTCTTTGATAGCTCTGCCCACTCAGCCCTTCACGCCAGAAGAAAGCCTCAGAGGGGTGCTTCTGGTCTCTATCGTAAACCCGGAGGTTAGAGGCATGTCTTAACAGGGGAAGAGCAGCCTGTTTCTAAGTGCTGTGAAGTGCTTGCTGTTAGCATGGGTCCCCGAGCCTTCCCTGCGCCCCAGAAGTGGAGCGCGCCGTCGAGGAGCTGTCTGCGAGTCGAGCCTATTAGGGTTTACGCTCCCGAACGTCAGCTTCTCGAGTTGCCTTTTCCCTCCTTCACCCCAAATTCTGGAATTTTATCATTTTAGAGGCCATAGCAGAGGGAACTTAGGCAAGTGGAACCAACATGAGGCTTGTTCTGTCACGTGGGGTGGCCGCCGCCGCGAGGAGCAGAGAGGACGAGAAGGCGCGCCGGTGCTGGGAGATGGGGCGGGCGCCGTGCTGACTGCAGTGGCTCAGCAGTGTCCTTCCTGGCTTATCGGGCTCCCTCTGGGACCAGGTCTCCTGGTGGGACCCCGCCCAGGGTTCTGGCAGGAAGACCCGGTGCCGGCCGCCGTGTGTTCATCCAGCAGCTCCCAGGCCCCCCATGCGTGCTGCCCGGGCTGTCCGCTCGGCCGCCTGCGGAGCTCTGGGATCAGGGCGCCCATGTGTAACATCACAGTTAACTTCCCGAGACTCTGGCGGGGCTGCTCTCTGCCCCGTGGGAGGGGCGGGGGAGGTCCCGTGGCGTTGTCTTCCTCAGCTGCAACTGGACAGGTGGGCTCACCAGGAAGCGAGGGGTCAGCAAGCCTTCCACTCCTTTGCTCATCGTCTGGGGCCCACATGGAAGGTCCCAAGCTCCCGTCTGGGAAACTTCAGGTCCCAGGAGTTTAGTGGGCAGGTTTTATAGACATGATTTCTGCCAATTAAGGGCATAGTTTGAGGTGTTGCTTTTATTCCTGGTCTTATATGAAACTGAAGGCAGGATGGAGGTTGTTGGATTTGGAAATCGATATTCTTCGTCTAAGAAAGAATTGTATTTTTAAGGCATTTCGCTCTATGTCTTCAAGAGGTTATACTTCTAAATATAAGAATTTGGGATAAAGTTGTCAAACGCTTTGCTGCTCCAGATACTTATTTCCGGTAGATTCTAGCGGTTTGAAAAGTCTGACTGATGGAGGCTTAAATAGATTTTCCATAGAGCTATTTTTTTAAAGCTGAGCCATCTGAACTGCTTGAATGAACTCTGGATGTGGTTCTAGTTGGTCTGTTAAACAGTCTTGCTGTATAAGCCCCCAGGAGCCCTCGCACGCCCTTCCCAGTGGAAAGCCGGGAATGACTGAGCTAGTTTCCGGTCGGTAGCACCAAGCTGAATGGCACTCAGCCTTTGGCACCCGGATCCGAGGAGGACAAGAAAGGCTGGTGGCCCTGCAGTCCGAGCTGGGGTCGAGCCGGTGCAGGGAACCGAGATGGCCGGGAGGCAGGGTGCTCCAGTGTGGGGCTAACTCACGGGTGAAGACCAAGCTATACCCCCACTTCCACCCCCAGGAAGGGATGGGAACCAAGTGGCTGCAGCCCATAGCCGATGGCTCCTGAAACCTAAGAGAAAGAAGACAGAAACACAGACAGAGGGCAAGGAGGTGCTGGAGATTAGAAATGACCGCTGGCTGCCAAGCTGCCCAGTGCCGGGCGAGGCGCGCAGCTTCCGTGCGCGCGTGTAGCCAGCGCCCAGCGCCCCGGCCAGCGCTGCCCCACATAACGGTGCTGTCTGTAAAGAGAGGGTGATTGAGTGCGCCGTGTGAGAAAGCACTTAGCAATGTGATTAGTTTTAGTCGCGCATTCGCCAAAAACAAGCTGTTAGAATAAAAGTGGGGGCTTGGCTTCTGTGCGTGTGGACAGACTCGGAAGAGCAGCCGAAGAGCGGCCTGCCAAATCCGAGGCGCCACGAGCAAGCGGGCCTCCGTGGTCCAGGTCTTTCAAACGTTTCCCTTCTTGTCAAAAGTTGTTCACCTGGAGAATATAGATATAAAGGAAATAAAAATAAAAATCTTTTGTAATAAAACCACTGAGAATAACCACAGGTTACTCTAATTCTCTTTTCCTGGTGGCTTCCGGTGTGCGCGTAGAAGAAAGTAAAACTGGATTCACAGCACCAGTCGCCCGCGATCGTCCACCCCTCTCAGTGGATATGGTTTTTAACCTTAACTGTTTGGCAGTCGAAGTAAAGTTGTGCTTTACCTACAGCCACATGTTTTGTGGAATTGTGTAGCTAGGCTGCATGTAAAAGTCAGGCCTCAAGCTTTGAGGTTCTGGAATGTTAATTCTGTAGGAGCCAGTGCCAACTCATACACCTGAAACTTAGAATTGACAGTTTAATATGGCAACTAAGAAGTTCCTATCTGTGTGTCTTTCTTTATTTTGAAGGATCCATTATAAAATAAACTGTTTTCCTTCTCTTTAGCCTTCTCTGGATATTCAACAAATACCAAGTACGACCCACACCAAATTAAAGCAGAAATAGCAAGTCGTCGGGATAGGGTGAGTAAAACCAGAAGCCACTTCTGCATTTTCATGTAACATCCCTTGGCCCGGTTCACGACTGCGCAGTGGTGCAGCTAGCGCCTCTGTTTTAGCAAGGGTTCAGTTACCTGGGCTAGTACTAGTCCGTTGGGTGCTGCTCTCTGCTTTTCTTCCAGTAGGAGGGGAACAGTTTCATGTTAAAACCTTACCTTACCCAACAGAGGTCACCTGTGTCCTGTTGCGTATTTCATGGGGCTAGACGCACCCCTCATTTGGAATGATATGGCAACATCAGGGCCCAACCTCAGAGTATTAGCGGGGTGTATTAGCGGGGTGCCTGCCCTGATGCAGCGTCAGCACCCGCTGTATGCCCCTGGTTGTTGTATTCCCAGAGGGCTCATTCCACGGTGGTGCTTGACCAGAAGCTTCCGATCGATGTTCCTTCCCTGGCGACACCTGAGTTCTCTGCATGCTGCCTGTGTCATGCCTGCAGTCCCCTGTCTTGGTTGCCTGGGGAGGGGGCAATCTGGTTGTGCTGCAACAAGGCCCAGGGGGAGGCATCTTGGAAAGGAACCTCCTTTCTCTTGGTGGCTCTCAAATTCCAGCGCACCTGAAAAGAGAAACACCAGGCAGTCTATCAAAGGTGCGAGCTCCCAGGCCCACCCCTGAGTTTCATTACAGGCCCGAAGTGGGCCCCAGAATCTGATCGAAGAAGCGCTCCAGTGGTTTCCTACATGCAATCCCTGGGCAGTACGGAGAGGGAAGAGGAAAGGATTGCAAAGTTTGTAATGTGTAAATCAATACCCTGAAAAAAAGTAGTTGCCAGTTTTTGTGTGTAAGCAAGGTGGTTCTTCCCCAATGGCTGTTTTGCATTGGAAACTCACAGAGAGAGTAGCTGGTCCAGTGACTTGGAAGCTAATCAGAAGCTTCGATGACAATGCTTACAACTGTAGAAAGAATTTCACACGGCTTGTTTTGGGAAAAAAAATGTGATTTGTCTTTAGCTTTCCAGATTAAAACGAGAGCTGACCCAGATGAAGCAAGAACTGCAGTACAAAGAAAAGGGGGTGGAGACCCTGCAAGAGTGAGTCACCCCAACTACAGAAGGGAGGGCTTCCCTGTGGCTTCCTGTGTGGGGTCTGGACATGTGTCCTAACGCTTCTTGGGGTTCTGCCTTTATGCTCTCGCCTGTGCCCATCATTCCCCCACCCCGGCCCCCGGGGTCGCTCTTTCCCTTGAAAACTTCATTCCTGTGAGTGGAAAGACGGAAAACAAGACCTGTGTTTCACACTCACTCACAGTTCTCAGGAGCTGCACTGTCTGAGACACACGTGGCCATTTAAATTTGAGCCCCAGTCATGTTAGCTGTAGTCTCTTGCAGTTTTTATTCTGAGGTTTTTTTTTTTTTTTAAGTTTTTTTTTAAAAAAAGATTTATTTATTTTATACAAGAACCAGGGTACAGGCCAGAGGCGTGGGAGGGTGAGAGGAATCACCAGAGACAGAGCGGGGAACGGAACAGGCAGACTGATGAAATACACTGCTGAGGGGAGCAGCGGGCGCTACAGGAGAGGTCTGCCGCGCCATGTGAGACCCTCGCCGGCCAGCCGGGATTGAACCGGCGCTGCAGAGGCTGCGGACAGCTTTAATAGCGCAGTGCTCAACTGCCTGCACCACCAGGGGAGGCCCTATTCTGAGTTTTAATTGAAGATAAATGAGGGGAAATGTGGTCCCTGCTCCCAGCGGGCCCCTCTGAAATGCTCAATTTTACCACCCTGAAGCGGATGGTCTCTGGTGGGGGCATCCTGTGCATCGTGGAGTGTTAAGCAGCATCCCTGGCCTTGACCCCCTGGATGCCAGTAGTGCATGTACACGTGCCCCCACCCCTGCCACCCAGTGGTGACAGCCCAGTGTCCCCTCGAGGGCACATTTGCTCCCAGTTGAGAGCCCCCGGCCCGCCCTGCCGAGTGTGAGCTGTGCGTGCAGTCAGCACATTCAGCGAAGTGAAGCGATTTTATACATGGTGATGTCATTGGTCTGGAAGCGTCGATTTTCTTTTTTTTTTTCTAAAGATTTATTTATGCATATAAGAGCTGGGGTACAGGCCAGAGATGTGGGGGATGAGAGGACTCAATAGAGACAGAGTGGGGAACAGAACAGGCTTCACTGGAACGTGGGCATGTGCTTCCCACACTCGGTGCCCAGGCTTCTCCGCCCTCAGAGGGTGGGCTCAGGCTCCCGCAGTGACAGACACTCTGGTGGGGGGCCGAGACCGTGGAGGGGGCTGCCCACGACTCTGGGGAGTAGGAGGTCTTGGGGCTTCGGCAGATTTGGTCCCGGTGAGGACCCACTTCCTCACCGAAGAGCTCTGGTCTCCGCTCTTTCTTCCTCACCTTATAAGGGTACGGATCCCACCCCCAGGGGCCACCCTCATGACTTCATCTAAAGTGAGTCACAGCTCTGCCCGCATGGCGACATTTCTGCCGGTGAGGGTGGCACATATGACCACAGTTCCTGTGACAGTCTAGGCGTGTGCGGGCTGGCCTGGAGGTACATGCCACCTCGCACACACGACGGGATCGCCTGAAGTGCATTTCTCAAAATGTGTTCCTTCGTGAAGGGATGCTTGACTGTACTTCCCATAGCCACCCCCCACCGAATACCATCGCATTGGGCTTAGGGGTTCACCTTAGCCATTTTGGAGGGATGTGGACATTCAGTCCATAGCAGGAATTGTGGGGTTAAGCCAGCCACGGGGCAGCTGCAGTGCAGGCTATGCAGTCCACCTTCCACAGCTGCAGGGCCCGTGTGGTCGCTGCTGTTGGGGAGGGGGCCCACCTGCTACTCGCTTGTGTCCAGTGTGCAGACGCGGTGACATTCGACATTCATCAGATGTGCCCCATGTGCTGCTCTGCAGAGGGAGGTCACGTTTGAGTGTGTTTGCCAGACACAGTGATCTCAGCTCCAGCCCAGTTGTGTAACACAGGGTTGAGATTCACTTTCTTAATCACCCAGGGTGGGCTGGGCTGATGATGCCTTGTCCATTTCTTTATTTTTTTAATTTTATTTTTTTTTTAAAGAGGCATGTATTTTTTTTTATTTTTATGATTTATTTATTTGTTTGTTTGTTTTGTTTTGTTTATACAAGCACTGGGTACAGTCAGAAGCGCGGGAGGGTGAGAGAATTCACCAGAGCCAGAGCGGGGGGCAGAGCAGGCAGAAGGACCGAAGGACACTGCTGAGGGGAGCAGCGGGCGGCAGGAGAGGTCTGCGCGCCATGTGGGACCGTCCTCTGGTGGCCGGGGAGCAGCCGGGGATCGAACCGGTGCTGCAGAGGCTGCGGGCAGCTTCGCAACCCAGCGCTCAACCGCTGCGCCACAGGGGAGGCCCCTTGTCCATTTCTTTATTAAGGACTTTACAAGCATGACGGGAGACTTGCAAGAAAGGTGAGCCGGCCCCGCGTGGAAGGGCTGGCTGTCTCTGGCCTGAGGCACAGCCAGTTCCCCTGCAGGCCCTGCGTGTGGGTTTTCATAAACCCCTCCACAAGCCTGGGGTCTTCCAGACTTTCTGTCGTCCCTTGGCTTCCTCTCCCATGACCCAGCTGTGGTGTGAGTGCTTTGTCCTGCACCGTGGCTTGCAAGGTGGGTTTCTTTAACTAGCCTTAGTAAGGACAGCTTTTTAAAAAAGCTTTGCTTAGCAAATGAAGGTTCTTTCTCAGTATCGGCTATTGGTTTTGTCACTCTTTTGGCCTTTGCTACAGCACTTCCCTCGCACCCACACCTGTCCTGTCATTCTGCCTTGTACAGCCCAGCCAGCCTTCAGACACTCGAGGCCCACAGGGGCCCTTCTGTGAGTACTGTGGCCATGTCACCCTGCAGCACTGAGGCCGAAGGGCTAGGTATGAGATGAGCAGAAAGTAGTCGTTTCATTTGGGAAGTCTTCAGAGTTGCTGGGACTAGCTAGTTGAATTCCTGAGAGGTTGCTTTCCTGCCATTTGGCCACACCTTAGCTTTCTCTCTTGACTGGGAACCACTGCTAAAGACTTCCGACTTCCGGTGTCTCTAGATAGGACTTCCTTTTAATGCGAGGCATCGTGCAGACTGGACTGCATTTCCTCTCATTCTCACTCGAGAGATGCTGATGAGGGTGATGGGGGTTTAGGGTGGCTCAGGAAGACTCCAAGGTCTCATAGGCCCCCTGAGCCTCACAGAGGTCTCCAGCCTGGCACTGCTCCTCATGCTCTCCACCACTCCCGCCATCTTCATTCCGTTACGTGAAGGCAAAGGTTAGGGTGCGACTGCAGCTTAAAACTAAACCCCCCAGGAAAACAAGCTGTGCTGGGTGCTCGAGCGAATGAGCAAACCCCTGGCCCTGGCAGAAAGGCTCCTCACATTGCTGAGAGGCAGATTCATTCCGCGGGCAAGTCATTGCCAGCCCAGGGAGCGAACGGCAGCCGTAGTGTCAGGTTCGTCCATGAAGAAGCTTATAGAAGCCAGCGCAGGGCGAGCTGTCTTCAGGCCTACAGCCACCGTGCTGTGGGTGCTGCATCTGTGCCTCTCTGCTTGCTCAAGCGTGACCCACACTTGGGGGCAGAGATGGTAAGTGTGCCCCATCGTAAGGCCAAGGCTCACTCCCTGCCAGAGCCTGGGCTTGTCTGCCCTCCCCGGAGGAGGCCAAGGAGTGGCCTGAGGAAAGGTTCTGGGTCTGGCCTGGGTCCTGGGGAAGCCAGCCCAGCTTTCCAGACGCTGCCGAGAGAGGCAGCGTTTCACAGCTGTGTCACCGTCTGTGTTGACGCTCTTCTGTGACGCGTCTTACAGGAAGGAGAGCCAGCACGGGCTCCTGTCAACTTTAGCCTTCTTGCCAGTGGAAAGCCACTGAGGGCGTTCAGGTCGGGCTTGAATCCCGCACTTCTGGATTCTTTACTGAGAATGCAACCTTGGTAACTGGCGGAGCGACTGCCTGCCCTACTGTGTGTGCTGCCTGTGGGCCCAGTGAACCCGCTGTGCACCAGGCAGCCTTCCAGGCCAGTGCCACCGACTCTGTGGAGGCGGACACCCTGCATTTTCCTCCAGCCATGCTGCCGTCCAGCCTCCTGGAACGTCCAGTGCGTTCTTTCCCAGAGTGCCTCACTGGGAGTTTGGCTGCTCCTAACATTTTCAACTTGACTTGTTTACCTTGCCCAGCCCTCCTGGCTAGCAAAGAAATTCATCACTACGGTTGGGTCCAAATGAGGAAAAAGAACCTTTTGTATTTATTTTTAAGTTTATGTTAGTTGTTGATTTTTATAGAGGGGAGCTGGCTGTGAACACGGCCTCTGGGTTAATGACAGGGCACGGGCGCCGTGATGTTCATTACCTGATAACATGGTTATTATTAAAGCCATCTTGGCCACCAAAGGAGCCTTTGCTACTGGGCTGTGCCGCCCTAAAATTTCTGGAGCTTGTTGAGAAGTTTTCTCACTGTGACGTGTTGCTGGCCTCCAGGGGCGAAGAGGAGGGCTCTGAGCTAGGTGTTGAGTTGCCCAGATGGGCTCTGTGTGAGAACGTGCCGAGTGTGCCAGTAGGTGTGGGGCGCGTTCCTCTCAGTTATTCGAGATCTCCTGGAGATCTGGAACGTGCCTCGTGTTCCATTCTGAGTTGTCCTGCAGCCAGGAAGCTCATTTGACACTTCACTCCTGAGTTTCCCACGCTTTCGTGCCACGGAAGCCTCTCTGCCATGACACCTAGGATGTCCCCCAGCGCCTGCGTGATGGCTCAAGATGCTCTGAAGGACTGTCCTGGCTGCCCTTGCTACACCAGATGTCTCTGCCGTGGGCCGCTGCCATGTCACTGTTCCCACACTACAGAAAATGGCTCCTCTGCCGTGGCCGCTCACAGTGCTGAGACTTAATCCATTGCGCCGCCAGGGAGGACTGTCTTGGGTGCTTAATTAAAATTTAAAAAAGAAAAGATAGTTCTTTGGCAGTCACAGACTAGTACAGTTTTCTTTATGGAATGGAATATACTGAGAGTTTAGAAAATGCCGTCACTGAGCACAGCCCCTGAATTTGACCAAAGTTCTAGAGGGAATTTAATAAAAGGGAGAAAACTCCCAAATAAGTGAATTTTGCAGATCTGAAAGAAGAGGTTTCCTGTCCTTTGAAGTCTTTGCTAGATGAAACTTTACCACAGTTGAGAAATGGGTGAGGTTGGGTCTCCGTGCAACGCTGCTCACCGGTATCGAAGCCTGGGGTCCCTCCCCGGCCATTCTGGGGTGCACCCGTTGTTTCAAGGGGCATCGTGGCACCCCATGGCCCGAGGCGGGCTTGACAGTGGGAAGATGAGGGCTTGGAGCCCAGCTGTGCCAGATCTTAGCTTGTGTTCTTCAGCCACTCAGTAAATCGCTCTGGGCTGCTGTATTTTCATTATAAAATCCGAGAAGATTATGCTTATCTTAGAAGGCTGTTGAGGGGAATAAAGCAGGCGACGATGCAAAGGAGGTGACAAGACCCTAATCCGCGCTGGACTGACTCAGCGTACTACTGTCACAGATGAGAGTCCAGCAGCAGACGCCTGGGAAGTGTGTTTATTTAGATAGTGTATTTATGCTGTGTACCTTTTCGTGCAATTCCATGTTCTCTAATAATGTACAAGTGTTTCTAAAGAGTAAGAGATGGCGTGCTCTGGTAGCTCTCACGCGTTTTTGAACAGCGAAGTCTTCCCTTTCTCTCCCTGCAGAATCTTCTCTCTCTCTCTCCCTGCAGATGTTTTCTGTGGCTGCGGAACATCTGAGGCAAAGCGAAGGGGAGGCGGGGGCCGAAGCGGGGGAGGGTCCCGAGCCCCATTTGGCCATTCCCCTTGGCCGAGACCCTCTCGGAATGGAGTAGAAAGAACTGTCCTAGGCCAGGCTTTTAATTCTTCTCCGAGCCTCTTAGGTAGCACGAAGGCCAGAGCCAGGTCCGTGGCCATGGAGTTGAACTTCTGTTCTCCCGGGTGCGCTGTGGCGTCGGCTGACAGGATGCATGATGGGGCTGCCGATCTCGCTTCCTGAGGAGGGCAGGGGCCTGTTTCCCATCCCAGAACCTGGGGCCTTGAGGGGCTGCTGGCCTAAGCCACACTTTGGCTTTACAGCTGCCAGAAGCCACAGGGAAATCACCACACTCGAGCACAAAGCTGGAGCTGACGGCCAGCGTCTCACGCTGCAGCCTTATCAGTGAGCATGTGTGTGTGCCTCTGTGGCTTTTAGATGAGCACTGATTTTCAAGCAGGCGGCAGAGTTTCATTCTCTCCACGGACATCGGTGTCCGGTGGCGATGATCCTCAGCTGGATTTTTCATTCCGGAGAAGCCGCTCGACCCGGAGAGCGGAGGCGCTGCTCACTGAAGGCTGCAGAGAAGCCAGGCTTTTCTGGCCTCGGGTTTTTTGCGTGAAGGTGGTGTAGCCCTTCTCTGCAGACTTCATTAGCGATGTCGGTTGTGGTTTCTGACGTCGCAGGAGATGTACGGAATGCCTTTTATCAGAAGATGAACACAAGGAGACAGTCTTACGTAAATTTTCTCTGCAAGAAAACTTGGGCCGCTTCCCTGCAGCTGTCGTGTCGGGAGATGGATGGCTTTTCATTTCTGCCTTAGAGACTTGCCTGCTTTCTGGCGTTGGAGGCTCACTTCTCCATAGAGCAGCTAAAATGGAAAACCATGGACTTGCCCTCTGTTTTATGTTTTCCGGTGTCATGTATCTTGGTGTTTCTGGAGTCTGGTAAGATGAACAACCCTGTACAAGGGACCTCCCTGCAGCCTGAGCTCCCACCAAGAAACAGCAGAATTTCCTCTTACTTCTGCTGTTGCTTTGTCCTTGACTCACGGCTCTTTATCTCAGAATTCTTTCTTCTGTCAACTCCCCGGGCATTTAGAAGCACGGTGAGGGCATGGGGCTCAGTATAACAGTCATCGAGCTTCCGCTGGCTAACAATAACTCGTGTGAGAAGAGGCTCCGCAGCCTGTGTGGTTCTGGGACCTGGCTGCTGGGTGACGAGGCCTCCTGGTTCTACCTGTAGAGTCCATTCAGCAAGGACCCGGGTATTTTGGTGATCAGCTGGATTGGGGTGGGGACCCTATCCCAGGCCTGGCATCTTCGTGAAGTCACCAAGCCTGCTGGATGTTCAGAGACTTCTTCAGGGGAGACAGTTAACTGGCCTGAGAGGTGGGACGAGGCGCTGACTCGGACTCCTGGGTCCATTCCTTTCCTGTCATGCCGTTCACCACCACGGCGCCCCCTGTGGAAAAATGCCAGAATGACACTGACTTCAGTGTGAGGGTGTAAAGGGGAAGAAAGTTCGAGTCAGGGCCCTGGTGTTACCACAGTTGACCTGTAGGTCTTGTAAGGCACTAGCAGTGAGGGAGGAAACCAGTCACTTTGGTAGTGGGGCTGCTTTTGAGGGACAATATGAAGGACCCTCGAAGAAGTACAAAGAACATTCCCACTGTCTTCATCCTTGCTACGGGCTCCCACTTTTTTTTTTTTTTAAAGATTTTTTTTTTTTATTTGTGCATACAAGAACTGGGGTACAGGGCAGAGGTGTCAGGGTGGGGGTGAGAGGATTTACCAGACACAGAGTTGGGGAACAGAACAGGCAGATCTACTGAAATACACTGCTGAGGGGAGCAGCGGGCGAGACAGGAGAGGTCTGTTGTGCCATGTGGGTCAGCTCTCTGGCCGGCCTGGGATCGAACTCAGGCCGCAGTGGCTGGTGATAGCTTGAGAGCGCTGAGACTTTAACCGCTGCACCACCAGGGAGGCCTGCGTCTTCCATTTGTTAATAGCCGCCAGATGCTGGCTCTGTGCTAGGAACTTTTTGTTTTATTGCTGGATCTGATCATTACCATCCTGATCGTGCAGATGAACCATCTTGTGAAGAAGCTGAAATAGGGATGTAGTAAGAACAGGGAAAAAAGGAAAAAAAACCCACGGCCCAAGTTTTAGTCCCACTCACTTACTTTAACTTCTGCATGGAACACGCTAGAGCACATCCCTTTTCATACAAATGGGTCAGTAAAAGCTGCTTTGTAGGAACAGTCACGGTTAAGTGTGTCTGAGAACACAATTCTTTAACTGACCCATTTTGAAAGTGCCCATGGGGCCAGAACGTGCTGTGATTTAGGGTGTCACCAGTCAGCGTGTGGGGCCTATGCTGCGCCTGCACCCCCTGTCCATGGAAGACGGTTTCGCGGCTGTGCTGTCAAGCCCAGGCCCAGCTCCACCGGGAGGGGATGGCCTCCTGCTTGCTTTACTTGCCCAGCTCATTCCAAGGATGCTGGTAGCTCCAGGGCTGGGTTTTGCCGCCAGTTGTGACCTGTGTGGCCGGGACTGGTTAATGGTAATAGAAGAGCCAGTGAGCTGCTTCCCTTTCCTCCCATGAAAAAAGCTGATTTCATAATGATGCTCTTCATAAACATCGCACGCCAGGCCCCTGCCACGTAAGCCCTTTCCTCACGTTTTCTCATGAAATGGGAGAAATGTTTTTAGTGTCCCCGTTTTACACACGAGGGGACTTGAAGAGGTGACGTGACTTGCCAGGTTCCCGCCATAGAGCCCGGGCTGTCCCAGGCTCTCCCCCATGGCCAGGACGCTTTCGTGAACGGAAAATGAGGGCGTTGGGGCTGGCCTGTAAGCGTTCAGCTTTTCGGGGTAACGGGGTGGGGGATACAGTTTAGAACCAGAACCTGTGTCGTGGTGGGCCTGGAACTTGAGGCACAAGCAGCTAGTGGCTTTCCAGAGAAGGGGTTCATTCCATTTCCGGACCAAAGTGTCCCAACCTTTTCACCCCCGAGGGCTTCCAAGGCTCAAGACTTGGGTGCAGAAGACGCAGCCAGGAGACTGCCCTCTGGAGGCCTGGGCTGAGCCTTGTCTTGGCCAGTGCTCTGCTCCTCCCGCAGGAGCCAGGCCAGGCATGCATGAGGGAGGCAGAGGGCCTGGAGAGGGCAGGAAGGAGGCGGGGAGCAGGGGCGGAGGGAGGGAGGGAGGTTTGAGTGGATGGAAGGCAGCGGAGGAATGGGTGTTTGGGTTGAAGGGAAGAACTCAGTGAGAGCGAGAGCCAGGATGAGACAGAAGGGAAGGGCGCGCTTCTGCGCAAGGCCCCGCTCTTGCAAGGGCGCTGCTTTGCTATTTCCAGCGTGTTCTTTTTGCGCAGAGCTCGCACTCCCACATTTGCCTAATAGGCATTTCTGACCACGAACCCAGATGCTAGCTATACGCGATGAAGGCTGGGGCTGGCGAGGACCAGGCTGGCCGTCTCATTGCTCGTAGCGGCCTCCCTCCGCGGGGCGCTCACTGTCCGCTCCCCCCAGCGAATCACTTTGGATTCGCCACAGGAAGGAAGTTTCACGGGATCCTTATTTTTCTTTGCTGAAACATTGGGATTTGGGGGACTCATTATTTTCCCACCGAGGTGTAATTGGCAGCACGTCACTTTGATCTGCTGCTCACCTTTCTCGGAAGCTCTTGAGTTGCTGTTTAGCGGAACGTTATGATCTCACCTGGAATGACTCATTTTCCGTTTTTAACCAGAATCGACCGTAAGATGTCCAGTGCTCACACCACCTACAAACTGGACGAGGCACAGGCTATCATGAGCGAGCTGCGGTCCATCAAGAAAGCCATCTGCACGGGGGAGAAGGAGAGGCGGGACCTGATGCTGGTGAGGAGCCCGCCGTCCCAGCCGTCTGCGTTCTTGCGAACGGCTCACTTGCTTATTATTTCTTGCTCGTATTCAGGAAAGGCGGGTTCACTGGAGAAAGGAAAGGGAGAAGCAGCGCCCGCACAGACGCAGGCGGTGGTCTCGGGACAGGAACTGCTGAAAACATTTTAAACACAGGTTTCACGCGTGTGGCGTACTGATGCTCTATGTCATCCATGGATATCTTTAAGACGTGTGTGTATTAGATTTCATGTGCGTGTCTGTGCATATCAAGAGAGAAATATGCACATATTTTTAAATAGGAGTGTTCGTTTCCAGAACTGCCGTAACAGTGTAGCAAGGACGAGACAGCTTTGGCAGCAGAAGTCCATTCCCTCGGTGTCTGGAGGATGGAGTGTGAGGTGACGGCTCCTTCCTTGCCCTCACGCAGCCTCTGGAGGGGCCTGGTGCTCCTTGGCATGCCATGGCTTGTAGGCGCAGCAGTCCTCTCTCTGCCACAGTTGTCACGCAGGCCCTCCCTGGGTCCGAATGTCTTCTTTTTGTAAGAACACCAGTCACTGGGTTAGAGCCCCTCCCAGTCCAGGCTGAGCTCATCTTGTCTCCGTTCCCTCTGCCAAGACCCTGTTTCCAAATGAGCTCAGGATCACAGGACCTGCCGGGCAGCACACAGGGCAAGTCACAGCAGCAGGGAGGCCTTCGGACCGTTCCAGCGTTTGATTAATCCAAAGTCTAGCACAAGAAATCTTGCTGCCATCCCGTTCACTCACCTCCGGTGCCTCCTTTTGTTGGCTTCTCGTCTGCCTTCCCCTAGCATGCCCTGTGCTTTGTCCTGCCCCCTGGCACCTCCTTGCCCCTCGGGCGGCTGCAGCGTTCCAGCACGCTGAGTCCTGCAGTCCCTCGGCTGAGATGATTGTAGCTTTACGTTGCTTTCTTTTTTGCCCCTTGAACTCCTGTGATTTCAGCTATATTTAGAAAAAGCTGTGCTTTTGAGACAGGGTCACGCTGTTCTTTTTGCTCTGTACTAGAAAGCACTCAGTTGTTTCTATTACAGCTTTTATTTTTCTCTCGGCGCTCTAAGGAGCACCTAGTGTCTGATCAGCATTTGTCTAGATTCTCCAGAATGTAAGATGTAGAAGGTCATGCGAACCAAAGCTCAGACTCAGAGGCCAAATGGGACAGCTGTGCAAGTAACTGCCATCCACAGCCACGCTTTCTAAGGCCAAGACCACGACCAATTTCCCCACTGTTTGCCTGTGGCTCGTTAAACTGAAGATTACTGGGCCCCTGTCCAGACCTACTGGATTAGAATCTATAGAAGTAGCGCCCGGAAACCTGTGTCCCCAAGGCGCCCTATCCAGGTTATGGGAGGTAGATGATCCATGCCCAAATTTTCTCCTAGCCCTGGTAGCAAGGGGAACAGCTACCATTTTGAGGGTGCAGCCTTGGATGAGGTACTCCGTGGATGTTACTCATTTTGTCCAAGGAGTCCAAACCCCAGAGCCAGGTCCAGCCACCTGGCCTCCGTGGGTTCACCACGGAGGCCAGAGACAGAATTTCTAGAAGAAACTTCAGGCCCCTACATCTTCTGTACGAAGCTCCAGGGAGAGGCCCAGGCCACATCCTCTTCTGGTAGTGTCAAATCCATTGCTATGTCTTTCTTACACGAATGTAGCCGTGTTGACTCATTGCCAGTGATGAGCTGTGCCAGGCCCAGACGCTGGGGTCCACAGAGATGTGTGCTGAAGATGGGCAGATCCAAAAGGCGAAAAAAATGTAGAAAAATCTGATTTTGCTTTAACTTTCATCCAAAGAGGTTCCCTGTGCCAGAATATGTACTTACTCTAATTTTTGCTAAATGGACATCCATATGAGATGACGATGTAGAATTATGACTGAAAAATCAGGTTATAAAATTACACAAGCCTCACGCAAGAGCTGTTTGACCTTCTGTGTAGTTGATGACGATCTCTATCTAGGTGGCATTCATCTCTGTCAAGATTCACTGATGGACAGAGTGGCAGTGCGCTGCCCTCCCACCTTGGTGGTGAGAGCATTTAAGATCTACTCTTAGCAACTTTGGAGTACCTAATGCAGTAATGTTCACTACGGTCACTGTGCTGCCCAGAACGTACTCATTGGAAGGGTGTGCCCTCTGACGAACAGCTCCCCAAGTCCCCACCGTACCCCTGGGGACCACCACTCTACTCTGTCTCTGTGAGCGTGGCTTTGTGGGAGGGAATGCTGATGTTTTCTTTAGGAAACAGAAGGTTTAAAAACCCGTGAAAGTGGTACCACAATTGTTCTCTGTTTCATTCACATGCTGCCAGGAGGACTCAATGGCGACGTGATTTAAATTACTAAGAATTTTATCACAGGTGCCCTTTTCTTTTAAATCTAATGAAAATGGAGGTGGGGTGAGTCAGCACCCCTTAACAAAATAATATCTGACTCCAGAGCAAAGTGACTGCTGTTAAAGGGAGAAGGGAAAAGCAGCACCATCATCTCTGTTCAAATCGCTTGTTCCATTCTGTTCCAGAGCCTGGCCAAGCTGAGTGACAGCTTCAAGAACAGCTGCTTGCTCTCCGAGCCGCTGCCAGAGTTCCCTCACGGTCCGGCCATGCTGGGCGACTCGTTCCCTCAGCAGTTCTGTGACGCCGGCTCTCAGACCGACATCATCGGGGAGGTAGGCCCGTCCGTTGCCCTCACGCATTTGCTTGAATTTTCCGTGAACGCCTCACCAGTGTCTTGGCTGTTGTGCCCTTCAGCTGGAGGGAAGGACACTGTTTCTCGCGTCCAGCTGAGGAGGTCCAGCCCAGGGCGCCAGTAAGCACTTGCCTACACCTCTGCCCTGGCGGCTTGGATGTTTCAAAAGGGCAGAATCCTTTTGAGAGTTGTGTTTGAATGTTCTTTTTTTTAAGACATAGGACTTCTTTTTTTTTTAATTTTTTTTTTTATAGAGGCATGTTTTTTATTTATTTGTTTATTTGTTTGTTTGTTTTGTTTATACATGCACTGGGTACAGTCAGAAGCGCGGGAGGGTGAGAGAATCCACCAGAGCCAGAGCGGGGAGCAGAGCAGGCAGAAGGACCGAAGGACACTGCTGAGGGGAGCAGCGGGCGGCAGGAGAGGTCTGCGCGCCATGCGGGACCCTCCTCTGGTGGCCGGGGAGCAGCCGGGGATCGAACCGGTGCTGCAGAGGCTGTGGGCAGCTTCGCAACCCAGCGGTCAACCGCTGCGCCACCGGGGAGGCCCAAGACATAGGACTTCTTAGAGCAGGGTCAGCTAACTTCCTCTGTAAAGGTCCAGGTGGTAGATATTTTAGGGCTTGCAGGCCGTGCGTGTAGTCACGTGCCACCTAGCAGCGTTTTGCTCAGTGGTGGCTGCGGGTGGCGGCGGTCCCGAAGGCCCTGCCAGCAGCCTGGGTGTGGGCAGGCTGTGGCGTCTAGGTTATGTGAGCACATCTGTGACCTCCGCAGTGACGCAGGGGCCTGACAGTGCTTTCCTCAGAACACGTCCTTGTTCAGGTGCTTTGCGGTTACTTTCCGGGCCACCTTTGGAGAGTGGAGCTGGAAAGCCAGATTAAAAGAGTATTCCTCATTGTTGCTGAACGTTTACATGAGCTTCCTATTTTTTAATTAATTATAATTAATATTTTACATCATTTTTTCATTTTCTTTACAATGTTGGCTTTCTTTTCTTAGGAGTTTCCTATTTTGAAGTGTAGTTTTAATATGTCTCTCCCCTTCTGTTTTCGTTTTTCTTCTGCTCCGGAAAGTTTGTCTTTGACGATAAAACCAGACTTGTAGACCGAGTCAGGCTGAACTGGCAGTACGAGGAAGCCCGGAAGAGGTAAGAGGCGACGTTCTCCAACCCCGTCCTCTGCTGCTTCCTCTGTCCCGAGTGAAGAGGGTTCGCGGGGGCCCCGGGCTCGGCTGTCGCTTTATCAGAAAGCACGTCAAGCTCTCAGGGAGCTTCTTGCAGAAAGCGAAATTCTCAATATTGCAAATGGCGATCAAGATGTGACTCATACAAACAGAGACTTTTCCAGCTTTCCAAGTAGGTCAGAACTTCTTTCCCTCCCCCTCCCCCTCCTTCACCCCCCCCTTTTTTCCTTCTTGAGAGGGAGCATCCGTTCCTTAGACCCGCTTAAGCGAAGCTCGTATCTGCTGTACGTGCACCGTCCAGCTCCATGGCTTCATGGGAAAAGCCACATGTCTTGGTTACAAAGCCAGCTGAAGAAGGATTGGGTCACCGGTGACGGCAGTGCCTGATCTCTTCTGTTCTGCTGGAGAGAACTGAACCAGACATGTCTTTGACCCGCTCTCCAAACCCCCCGCCTGCTGTGCGCCCCGGCCGGTCTCGCGGTGCGTCCCCTGAGTCTCCTCCGCCTCCAGCCTCGGCCCCGTGGGTTCTCCCCGTTTTCAATATTCTGACCCTGCCCTCGCTTTCACGTCCTCTTTTAGAGACTTTTGTTTTATACCTTCTGGAGAGAGTCTTTACATTTTTTTCAAAATACGTGCTTTGGGGAATTCTGAAGCGTGTCTTTCTGAAACGCTTGCTTCAGTCACTGTGAGCTCTTGTCTTGGGGGCGGGGGGAGCAGGTCCTTTCTGGAAGGTGACTCCTCGGCCTGCTCAGTGTACTGCATCTTCCCTGCTGCTCTGGAATACACGTTGCCTTCTTAGAAGATACAAAAGCAGTAGCAAAAGCGAGTCAGGCTCCCTGCTGGAGGGTGGGCTTGCGGCAGGCCCGACGGCTTCTACCCAGTGCTGCTGCCTTTTCGCTGCCTATTGGTGGCGGCCTCTCAGTCTCCACCCGGCTGCTGCCAAGTTCCTGCAGCTGCCCCCTCTCCTCCGGCCCGCGCCTCCTGTGCGTCGTGGGGCTGTGACTCGTGCTCGTCCTGGTATTTCTGCCGGAGCTGCAGGTGAGGGCGCTGGAATTTGCTTCCACGTCATCCTACGTGACTTTTGGCTCTTAAATTGCCACATCTGAATTTTTTTCTGAGCAGTCCTTCCAAAACATGTTGGATCCCATCTTCCCTCTGTTCACAGTAGGGGGTTAGGGGGGGGACTTGGGCCCCTGCAGGGCAGATTCTTTGTTCTCGTGACTTTGGGTGGGGACCAGGGTTGCTGCTCAGCCAGCCACATGCACAGGGCGGCCCCACCAAGGACTTCAGGGCCCAGCGCAGACGGTCCTTTGGTTGAGGGCCCTTACCCTGGGCTGCTTCTCTTGCTCTTCACTCCCTCCTGCGTGTGGCCTGCTGGGGCAGCTTTCTGTCAACTCAGGACCCAGCCCTCTCCCCTGTGTCCTCGCTTACCCTGTTCTAGCCATAATGCCCTCCTTAGCGGGTGTCCTAGAGACCCCCTAAGCCCACTCCCACCCACCAGTCCCCACTGCGTCCCGTGGACCTCACACCTGCCGGGCCAGCTGTTGGTGTCTGGAGCTGGCAGAATAATGGCCCCCAAACATGTCCATGCTTGATCCCCAAGTCTCCATGGCAAAAGGGTCCTTCACCTGTGCTGAGGTTAAGGCTCTTGAGATGGGAGGTGATCCTGGATTATCTGGTGGGCCATAGCATCCCAAGGGCCCTTTTGAGGGGATGCAGGAGGGGCAGAGTCCACGAAGGAGACGTGAGGCTGGAGCAGAGGTCAGAGTGCTGTGGGGCCATGAGCCAAGCGATGCAGGCAGCCCCCAGAGCCTCCAGAAGGATCGCGGCCCCACCGACCGGCTTCTGACCTCTGGAACTGGAAGATAATAATGGGTGTTGCTTTAAACCACCAAGTTTGTGGTAATTTGTTATGGCAGGAAGGGGGAGAAACTAGTGGAGTGTCCTTGGGCCTCGCTGCTTGCTCTGCCCGCAGTGGAATGCTGGCCCTCACGCTGCCATGTGGCCTCTGTTCTCCTTTTGATCCTCTTGCATAAAGGGGCACCCCCATCCCCCCCATCGCCCTGATTCTCCCAGCAGATGCTATCGCGTGACCCTGGGGTCCTGTGTGTTTGCTGTGTTGTCATCTGCCTCTGAGAGAATGTAGGCGCCGTGAGGGTAGGGCTTTTTTCTGGCTGTTTACGTCACTGCCCTCATTCCAGGGGCTAAGTAGTCAGTGGATTTTTCTGAAGGCAAGAGTGAGGGTCCCATGTGTTCAAACTTGCTTCTTGGCCTTGGTGCCTGTGTGAGGGCCAGCGGGAGCCCCAGGGCCAGGTCAGCTGCAGGCCAGCTGCTGTGCTCCGGGCTCCCTCCCCTGAGGCCCACATGCTGGTGTGAGCTTTGGGAGATTTCCCCTTGACCTGAAAAGAGGGACAACATCACCACATGCGTGTCTTTCGGGAGCTGACGAGCCAAGGCTGGTTCCAGTGCCGGGCGTGTGTTCTTAGGACCCACGCAGGCGCCGAGCTCCGCTCGTAGTTTCTGGGGCTTCACGGATGTGGAGGGGCTCATGGTTTTGAACCCTCTTCCCACGTCCTCTTCTTGGGGGCTGGAGAAAATGGCCTTGACACTGGACCTGAAAGATGCTGGGCTTTCCTATTGGAGGGAAGGGCTTTCTCCACCAAGAGGGGTGCAGGGAGCAGGATGGACACTGTCAGGCCACTGTCTGGGTGCCACACAGCTGCGGCTTTTCCTTCCGCCACCACCCCCTTGACAGTGCCCCAGCTCCCGCTTCTGAAATCATTCTGCCCTATGAAGCCTCCTCTCCCTTCTCTGGAGCCCGCGGGCCCTGCGCGCTAGCTTGGGAGGAGCTCGAGCATTTGTGTTTCCGAAGGGCATTCCTTGTAGATGTAGCTTCGAGATTGTGGAGTTGGGAAAACATCAAAATGCAGTTCTGGTCAGTGAGGGATTTCACATGTATGTGCATTTAAAGGACATTTGTGGCAGTGAAACTCATAATTTCAAGTGGCAGTGTGACTTCTAGAAAATTCTTCTGACCAAACCACCACTCTCACGGTGACTAGTCTTGTGTTTGCTGCTGCCTATCCCTCTAGAAGCAGTGCTTTGGATACCCGAGGCAGACCTGATGATAGGAATGTTTTCACACTATTGGTTAAAAATTTGAGAATTTTTAAAAGCCAGTTGGGAGGAGCAGATCTTCTTGAAGCAGTCCCGGTGACGCAGATGGCTCCTTATTTTTAACCTAAGAGCGCTTGTTCCAGAACTGTGCACAAACTGTAGCTGTTTCCATAGAAACGCTCACTGTCCAGATAGGAACAAAACATTCGGTCCATGCAGCTTCTCCCTGCCTTGGGTCTGGTTGCCAGGCTCGGTCCTGCTGCTCATCCGTTGTCAGCAGCGAGCGCAGTGTCAGGATTCCAGTCGAATTTGATCAGTCCCTTGGCTTTCCCCTTCCTTTCTCAAGTGACTGTGTGGGTTTTGGGGGGTGGGGCGTGGCTGGGAGAAGAGGAAAGCCTCCTCGTCCCCGTCAGGCCAAGAGAGAGAAGCCGTGGACCTGCTTTTTGTTTCAAGAAGCTGTCCTCCGAAGATCTGGCGTTGAGGGGGCCCAATTGGCGCAGGCGGGGAGGAGCTGGAGTACCTGGAGGCCCTTCTTCAGCTGTGTGGACTGGAGTCAGGCTTTTCAGATGGGCCCGTGGGATAAAGAGCTGAGCCGAATGGGCGCTGCTTCAGTCAGCTGAAGCGATTCACTGCCCCTCAGACTTAGGTCTCAGTTGAAAGGTTCTCAAACTTCTTTTCATTTGACATTTACAAAAAGAAAACTGAGGGAAGAAGACGGATGGAGTGTCAATCCATCCTGCCGTTGGCGATCTAAAGACACTAGGCCCCGAGCTGAGTCTCAGCTTGGCATGGCTTGGGGTCCGGCCTGTCCTCTCACCGTCATGTGGGAGCCTCGCTCGCCTTGAGCTGCGTGTGCTGTTCCAGAAAGCAGCGATGTGTCAGAAACATAAGAAATTATATAGAGGACTGCAGAGTAAATGCAGATAATCGGGGGTTGTGCTGGATGTGTGAGACCTCACAACTTTGAGGATTAAAAGTGCCTTTTAAAAACACAGGCCGTACGTGAGCATTCCACGCGAGGCTCCGGGCAGCTCCTGCCGCGTGCGCGCCGCCTCCAGTCACGGCCTTATGCCGCCTGGCTTGTGGCAGAAAGGTGTTTGATAAAAATAGGAAGGGAAAAATAATTCCTATTTTACTTCTGTCTACATGACCTGTTTGGGAATCGAATTTGGGAATCAAATAATAAACGCGAAACCTGAGTGTCTGAGGCTTTGGCCTCATTTCCTCACTGCCAGGAGCGCGGGGACATGTATTTTAAAGCTTTCTCCCAGGCGTTCGTGAGAGGTTGCGGGCAGGCCAGACAGAGCGCCGAAACAAGAGTGGACCAGCAATGCAGCTGACTTGCGGGAGGAAACCCTGTCCAATTCTAAGTTGTTCTCAGTTCTCTTTAAAAATGAACTTGGGAAAGTTTCTTCTTTTTTGCAAACTTTAATCTTGACCTTGCTTTGCTTCCAAGTATTTAATTTCACTGAAAGGTTATTTCAGAAAAATCCATTCCTGGAAATTGTTTTTTTCTTCATTACCCAGAATTAGAGTGATGGCACTCGTGGGGTGGGTGTTATCTGGCGGGTAAGCTGTGTGGCGTCGATGTAGAAGAAGAGGCATCGTAAATCTCTATGGCAGGTTCTCTGACATTGAACGAAATGACGTGATTCGAAGACCTGGTTTCATTATACATAGTTTCCTTAAAGTGGCAGTGCCCAAGAACCGGGTGACAGCATTAAGCGAGGACTTTCTGCACATGTGTGCTCAGCCCTGGGCAGAGGGTCTGTTTCTTCTGGTATCCCTAACACACCAAGGCGCTCCTGTCCAGGCCAGCCACGCAGTACAGCAGGCATGTTGTTGTAAAGGAAAGCCATCTTGTCTGTCCCGTGGCGAGTGTACAAGAAATCATTGAAGGAATTCTAGAACTTTTGGCTTCTAGGACAAACAGATAGGCAGACACATCTGCCTCTTTTGACCTGGCTGAGAGCATGTCCCCAATGTGTGCATCTGGAATATGGATATAGGGAGAGAAATTGCACTTTCCAGTATGTGCCCACAGCCCGCTAGACTCAAATAGCTCTGAAACGAACATTAAATCACTTGCATGTTGTGAAATTAAATGATAACAAAAGCACTATTCTTAAGCACAGACATGTTTGCCTCGTGTTCAGCTCAGCCAGACAGCTTTTCCAGGTGGCTTGCACGAAGTCAACTTCATCCAGATTTTGTTTCCGCACAGAGCCTGTCTCTCGCCATATGGCCGTGCATATTGTTCTTGCGAGCTGTGGAAAGTTCCAGTACACTGTTTGATTTTGGTCCCTGGACTATTTCTTGTCTGCCCCCAGTGAGCGGTGTGCCCTGTGCTTCTGCTCCCTCCCGTAATTCATTTTTTCCCTTATTTCTTCTGCTGGTGGATGTTACTTGAGATTTTCCTGGAAAGAGCAGGATTGCCTACGGGGGGATTACCTAGCGTGGAATCATCTGCTGCCCTCACCTTCTACACCCACCCTGCAAACCTTGGAGAATAGCAATGAGCTTGGAGTAGACCCTTGATCACTCATGAAAACCCAGAAGAAGTGTTTTTAAAAATACCTGCTTGTCCTATTTGTATGTGAGCTGATACCAACCACAAGGCAGATGCTGCCAACTTTCACCGGGCTCGGGTGGGGTCTCCTGTGCATCAGATAAATTAAATGAACAAAGGTCAGGGCCCAACAGATTTGCTCAGTGTTATTCGTGTCTTTTATATTTTATTCCTTACCTTTGACTTGTGTTGATCTATGGTGGAATGTTCCAGAAATTTCACTGGGTATGATGTCTGCTTGAGCGCTAACTTATTTATGGGTCTGCTTGGGCTTCAGTTATATGACTGCCATAAATTTTAATGACACTGATTAGTCATAGGTGGACACCTAAGCCCACTTGGATTCTTCACCCTGTTCAGCTGCCTCTGTTATTAGCTTTTTCAGTGACATGATTTGGCACCAATTTCCAACACATTTTCAGGAAATTAGTCTTAAGTTAGAGAAGAACTTGTCTAATAACGCTACTGACATTCAGCTGTTTTCTTTACCCTCTCGGGGACCTGGGCTGGAGGAAAATGTGTACATTAAGACTCACTTGTGCGCTCTTTCCATCACCGGGTTCTGATCGGTTTGGCACGGGAGGCCGTCTTCTCCGATCCTCCGGCCAGGCTGTCCCCGTGCTCGCTCTCGCGCGCGGAGGCCTGACTGGGTGCAGGGCTGGCCGATGGGCTTGAACCCGGGACCGGCTCCAGTTGCTTGACCATACCCACGGGAACGGCCTTGACACGGGTTCCAGAGTCTGGGCCTAGCAGGCGGGACACCAGCTTTGATCACTGGCAGGCGCCGTCAGGAGGGCACTCCCGCCATTCCCGTTTTAGTGGGGATCATCACCTCAGTGCCTAGTGGAAGCCCCCAAGAACCACGAGGTGCGAACCCCGGCCTCCAGATCAGGCCGGGCTGCCCAAGAGCAGGTCAAACTTGAGTAAACCTCAAAAGCACCTGGAAGGGGCTTATTAAACCTCAGATTGCTGACCCCATCCCCAGGGTGGGAGAGGGGAGAGCCTGATGTTTGCATTTGTAGCAAGCACCCAGGTGGTGATGAGGCCGCTGGTGCGGGACCCCCTGAGAACTACTCCCTCTGAGGCTATGGGGCTTACTGTCTGCCTGGCCTTCTGCCATCTCAGGGGAGACTGGGCATTCTGTGCGGGGCATGTATGCCAAAGTGTCCTCCACAGCACTGGGTTAGCATGAGTCTGGCATCGCTTATTTCTGCCCAGAAACAGATACGCAAGGCTTCTCTTTTCAGAAGCCCGTGCGGGACATGTTCCTCTTTTCTGAAGGTGGTCTTAGTCTGTGGCCTACAGGGAGGACAGGGCACAGGGAGGGTAGGGGCACCAGGAGCTTCGCCAAGCCCAACATAGCGTGAGCTAGCGATAGCACAAGGGGGAGCTGAGTTGGCACTTCCCCGTGCAGGGCAGACCGGTCAGACCCAGCACAGGGCATGGCTGTGGAGAGAGGGCCGCCGCCTTTGAATGGAGCACGGTCACTGTCTTCCTGACTCACAGCCCTGGGGGCTGCGTGAGGCTTTGGGCACTCTGTGGCCTGGCGCATGATGCCTTTATTCTGTGTCGCGTGAGCGTCCTGTCCTCCCAGCCCTGCCCCAGCATAGTGAGTCTCCAGAGGACGAGGGAAGAGGACTCTCGAAGTTCATGGGGTTTCTGTGTCTCTCTTGCAGAGTCTCGAATATCCAGCAGCAGCTGGCCCAGCTTGAGAGCGAGTCCTGGCCAGGCCTGGCCGAGGCTGACAGGGACCGGCTGCAGCTGGTCAAGGAGAAGGAGGCCCTGCTGCAGGACCTGCAGCTCATCGTCCAGCAGAGGCGGCCACTGGAAGATGTGGCCCGGCTGGAGGAGGAGAGGCGGCGGCTGGAGGAGGAGATCCAGCGGGCCCGCGCCACCTCTGTGCAGGGCGCCACGGAGAGGTGCGCCGGTGTCCCCTCTCAGGCCAGGCAGGGCCCAGGTCTTGGCAAGAACCAGTCCTATAGACTCGGCTGGTTTGATGACCCGAGCAAGAACCACCTTTGTCTTTTCCGTCCTGGCTTTAGCTCCTGAGTCCTTCCCCTTGTGCATGGCCTTTCTGGATACACCGGGGCCATCTGCTGCTTCCCTTGACTGGGACGGGTTTGTGCTGTAGTGGGGGTTCCCCTTCCTGAGTGTTCAACGTTGGGTTTCCCCTTCTTAACCTCACCGTGTCCTCACCCTTTTTGCCTTCACGTTTCCTCTCTCGTGTAGCTGCTTGTCTCAGCTTTTTCACCCACCATCTTGCCAGATGGGGAGGAACAGGTCCCCCTCCCAGCAAGACAAAAACGGGGCCAGCCTGGTGTTTGTGACCTGCAGATGCTTTTTAGAATTTAGTCATTCAAACCTACAGCAGTTTGGAGAATTTATGGTTGAATTTCTTGTCAGGAAAATCTACTCAATGTCATTGAAATCCACCAATGGACCATTTTCTTACCTACAGGATTCTTCTTCAGGAAAAAAGAAATTGTCTGCTTATGCAGCTGGAAGAAGCTACTCGCCTGACATCCTACCTCCAGTCCCAGCTAAGAAGGTGGGTCGCTTGAAAGGGGAAAACTACACTTAGTTACCAGAATTGAGAACCTACAGAGAATGCAAAAGTAGACCCGTTATATTTTTTTTAAAGATTTATTTATTTATGCATACCAGAACTGGGGCACAGGCCAGAGGTGCAGGGGGTGAGAGGACTCACCAGAGACAGAGTGGGGAGCAAAACAGGCAGATCTACTGAAATCCACTGCTGAGGGGAGCAGTGGGGAGACAGAGAGGTCTGCAGCACCATGTGGGCAGCAACCTGGCCCGGGGATCGAACTCGTGCTGCAGGGGCTCGGATAGCATCATAGGCTGTGCCTTAACCCCTTGCGCCACCACGGAGGCTCTGGACCCGTTGCATTTTTAAGATGAGCTGCTAATATGTGGCTCAAGGACTAAGAGAAGAACCAAATTTGACTTCAGAATAACAAGTCTCAAGTCCAGTGTATCCCTGAGTTTTGTAATTTATCTCACAGCTGCAGGGGTGTATATATCTGTGCACACATATGCACTTGTACATTATTTTTTTAAGGATATAGTTTTAAAATACGATTTAGATGCGCAACAAAAGCTCATGTTGTCAAGTCCTTTTTGTATTCTGAAGCATAATGTCCAAGGCTTTGTATGTATTATTTTCTCAGTTACTCCTCCCGAGAATGCTAGGAGGTAGGAACTACTTTTATTGGTACAGCCCCCAGTGGGAAAGCAAGAAACTCAGAGGAGGCAAATGATCTGACCAAGCCCTCTCAGCTAGCTCTGCCTTGAACTCAGGCGCGAGTCCTTCATGCCAACACTGCCCCCTACCAGCGGCCAAGCGAAACGAAGGAAAGAATTGAGCAGGTGCCTTCAGATGCTCCTGGAGTTAAGGACCCGCTCTGGCGGGTGGGGAAGAGGCTGGGTTTTGCCCCCCCCCCCCCAGGGCAGTGCAGAAGCTCTGCTTTGCAGTGGAAATCGGGTCTCCGGGCTGCTCGTCTCAGGCCGTGGGCCGCTCTCGTTTCAGCCTGTCTGCCAGCACCCTGACCGTGTCCTCGGGGAGCAGCCGTGGGTCCCTGGCCTCCAGCCGGGGCTCGCTGACCTCCAGCCGGGGTTCCTTGAGCTCGGTCAGCTTCACCGACATCTACGGCCTTCCGCACTACGAGATGCCCGACCCTGAGTACAGCCCGCTTCTGCGCTTCGATCTCCTTCCCTTTGAAGCCCTGGGACGAGATGCCTCCTTCCCAGATGCCCCGGGCCCCTCAGGCGTGCCCAAGCAAAGGCGCTCCCTAGACACGCCCCAGTCACTGGCATCCCTGTCCTCCCGCTCCTCCCTGTCCTCCCTTTCTCCCCCAAGCTCACCCCTGGACACGCCTTTCCTCCCGACCTCCCGCGAATCACCCTTCGCCCAGTCAGTGGACACTTTTGAGGTGCCAGGCTTGAGTGCCCTGGACAGACTGCGGGCTCAGGCCTCAATGTTGGGGGATGAAGACTCGCCGGGCACGATGTCCCTGCAGCTGCATGGACACCCTGGGGACGGGGACGGAGCTCGAGAGCGGGGACCTCCAGCGGCTGCTGCCCCAGCAGGTGCAAGTAAGTCTGGCAAAGTCTGGCTGCCTTGCTCGGGAAGGAAGGGCGAGCTCAGGGGAGAAGTCGCCCGTGATCTCAGGGAAGCCAGCTGGCCCTGAGGGACATGGCGGGTGACCCTGCAGGGAGGCTCACCGGGCACCCGGGCCTACCAGCAAAGTGTCTCTTGCAAGGGGCTGGCATGTTGTCAGGAGGCACTGAATTGTTGAAAAGGAGAGTGAGAACCACATGTGCTTTTGCATTCCGATGCCCATGGGGAGATCGCAGCCTCCGTGAGACCTCCGGGGCTGTGCCCAGGTGGCACAGTCTGTGGGGGTGCCCCAGACCGGTGCGCAGACTGCTGTCTGCTCGCGGCCCAGCAGACATCTCCACTTCCTTTGTCCCTGTGACTTCATGTCTTTCTCTTTGTCCCTGTAGGTTTTTTTTTTAACTCTTTACTTTTTTTTTTTTTTTTTTAAGATTTATTTATTTATTTTTTACAAGCACTGGGTACAGTCAGAAGCGCGGGAGGGTGAGAGAATTCACCAGAGCCAGAGCAGGGAACAGAACAGGCAGATGTACTGAAATACACTGCTGAGGGGAGCAGCGGGTGCAGCAGGAGAGGTCTGTCACGCCATGTGGGACTCTCGCTGGCGGCTGGGTTTCGAGCCGGCACTGCAGAGGCTGCGGGCAGCTTTGCAGCCCAGCGCTCAACCGCTGCGCCACCAAGGAGGCCCTGTCCCTGTAGCTTTTAAGGGCGTGCAGTGTCAAATGTGGACACAGCGAGTAAGCGTGATTCCAAAAGCCATGCCAGAGAGCAGCAGCCATTTCTAGTGAACCCTGAGTTCTGCCAGCTGCAAATCGAGAAACAGGGAGCCACAGGGCCCTTCCTCCAGTCGGTGTTAATTTGGCCTCCTCTCAGGGTCTGCCAGGCTGTAGCCCGCGTGGAGAAGCAAACTGCGGCTCCGGGAACATCCCGTCCGAGGCTTGTCACAAGCAGGGTCCGCGCTCCCACTCACCTCTTCTTGACCTGTGTGCTTGTGAGCCGCGCCCCAGCGACAGGAGCCTCCGTGGGCTTTAGGGAGGGTCAAGAACAAGGTCTCACTCCCCAAGTTCATCCATTTAATTGACTTTGATTTGCATGGCACAAAGCGGGCCAGCGGTTGCGTTTAGGCGGACGCCCCATGTGTGCGGCGGTCTCAACCAGCGGTGTTTTCCCCTCGAGGGAAATGCGTGGAAACGTCTGGAGACATTTCCGGTTGTCACAGTGCAGAGGGCCGGCATCTAGCCAGTGAAGCCCAGGCCGCTCACCCTCCGCAGCTCCCTGGCCACCCAGCAGACGCGCCGCTGAGCAGAAAAGGCTGAGCGAAAACCAGGGTGGCGGGGCTGGAAAGCGCTTCGGACTCGCAGCTTGGGCGCCTGGGCTGTGTTCCCCGCCTCTCCGCGGGCGAGACCTGGGGAGTCCCGGCCGCGCCGCCCTGGAGCAGGGTGACCTTTAGGGGCCCTGCCTTTCAGCAGCCTTCTGTTCCCCGTGAGTCTCTCCTGTCCAGCCACGCTGGCCGCATGTTCACATGAAACGTGGCCCCGCGCACAGCGTGTCCTCCCCAGGCAGCCCCTGGCGGGGCGGCGCCCGGGCCTCTGCTGTTCTCACCCGTTTGCAAACCCTCCCTTCGCACACGGGCGGGCGACCTTCTTTGCTTTGTTCTTCCTTCTAACCGCAGGCTCGGCGCTCCCTGTTTACTCCTTTCATTCAAGATGGAGAATAAGGACAGACCTGCGCGCCTGCTGCTCCTTTCGCTTCCTTTTCTCAGTGCCCTCGCCCCTCCACGCCAGCTTCTCTCTAAAGGCTGAGACATGAGTGACCGTCTCAGGAGGCGGAAAATCCACATGAAGCCCAAGGGGAAAGACGTGGTCAGAGGGGAAAGGGCTGACTTAACTTCCTACCCCGAGTCTTTCTTCCCCGCGCGGCCCGCAGTGCCTCAGCTCCCCAGAGGGCACCGTGTCTGCCGCGCGGCTTGCACGTGCTGCCCCCTGGTGGTAGGGCCGTGGGTGACACGGTCCGTGGGCTTGGGTCCTTCGCGCACGGGGAAGAATGGGCTCCAGGAGTGGGTGCCGGTGGGTGCTCCCAGGGGCCTGGCTGGGGAAGCCAACTTGAGGCGGGGACACTGGGCGACTTCTTTCCCTTGATGTTGCTGGGAACGCCCAGGGCCACCCTTGCTTCAGATAATTGGCGAGATTCTTAGTTCCCATCCCGTCCCCGCCCTCCCCGGGATGCAGGGCCGCATAACTCCCTGGGGCCGGGCGGCTGGGAACCGTGGTCACGCTGGGCCACAGGCGAGTTGGAGGGAGATAACATTCAGAAGTGCCCTAGCCTAAAATTTCCCGAACTCAGGAATGATTCCTGCTACTGTGTTTTAAGTCAATCTCAGGACACAGACGGGGCTGGGGAGTGGGGAAATAGACGGAGCTTTAACATTTTTGACATTTTTACCACAGTTTTATCTTCCCTAGATTTTAAAAGCCGATTGTGTCACAATTGTGCAATCCTTTTCCATTTTCATTTCCCACTGGTCTTTGCTAATCTAAATCCACCAAACCTGAGACTTTGCTCCTCTGTTTATTGACATTTGTATTATATTAAGGCTGTTTAAAATTGTTGGCTTAAATTCTACAGTTTTTTCACTTTGTGCTTTTTTTTTTTTATCTCTTTTTTCATGCGGCTCCACAGAGACGCTCACTGTAAGTGGTCTTGACTTCTTCACCTTGGGCTCAGGCTGCAGGACGTCTCTGTAGTGTGCATCAGTGTGGCCGGGGTGGTCGGGCAAAGGCCGAGGAGGGCCTGCATTAACGTGCTTGAGAGTTGCACCTCAGCGACGCTGCTCCATTTCCATCATCTTTATTATTTCAACATGAATGTTCACCATGGCCCCCTGAAGTTGTGTGAGGACTTCTCTAGAAGCTTTCAGTACTTACTCCTCTAGGTGTTTTCCCCGTAATGTAATGACCGGTTATTTCAGCACACAGGCGGCAGCCCCACCCACAATGTGAGGGTCCTATTTTCTTCAAGTTTGTCAAGCAGTGTCGATGTCCTGAGGGCTGTCTATCTCTCTGTCTTTAATGATGGAAAGGTCAGAGATATTTTTGATGAACATTTGCAAGAGTTTTTATTCCTGACTTCGCCAGCCTTGTCCCCAGGGTCATGGCGTTGCTGAGAACCCCGGGGGCAGGCGGCTGGGGGCTGGGGCGTGGGTGCTTCCCCTCCGGGGAGGCGCCCTGTGCGGCCCTGGATCCCCTCCATGAATACAGTGGCCAAGGCCTGATGGCTGAGGGTCGCTCCTTGGTTTCCTTCTCTCTTCACAGGCCTGCCCACGGCACGGGAGAGCAGTTTGTCGGGCTGCCCAAGGTGCTTAGGTCAGTCTCGGGGTGTCTCCTCCTTGAAGGGGCATGAGGCCAGGCTCAGGAGCTGGGTCGGAAGGAACATGGCTGGCAGTTTCATCTGCTGGGGAGCCATGCAGCAAACCGAGGGGTTCTCTCTGCCATTTGGAGCGCTTATTTTGGGCCCCTCCATGCTGTGGGGGTGCTGAGAAGGGCCGGACCTGGGAGGCCGGACCTTCAGTTTGAGAGTCCATGCCCCCGCCCCAGAATGAAGCCAGCGCCAGTCCCCGCCCGGGAGGGGCCGGGGGTCTCTGGGCTGGCAGCCCAGCCCTCGGGGAGGACAGCTGTGCTCTGTGCCCACCTTCTCCCTCCGCGTGTTGCGTGGGGCTGCTGTGTGGCAGGACAGAGAGGAGGCCGTTGGGGGCTTGACGTTTCAAGGGATGTATGCACGTCATACATTTCAGGGATGTATGCACGTTAAGCTTTCTGGTGTCTAGAGCTTAGATGGCTGAAGACCAAGCCAGAAAGACCCGGGGCCCACGGAGGTGACGGCAGGCGTGACAGTAGCAGGGTCGGGCCGGTCGGGGCCTCCTGTTGGCGTTGTCCTAGCCAGGGCGCCTTCCACAGAAGCCAGCGCGGGGCTTCCCTGCTTTGCCAAGGGGACCTTGTCGCCGTGAGGAAGGTGCGGCTACAGTTAAAGTGTTAGAGGGAAGATCGCAGGGGCTCTCTGCGGCTCTTGCTTGAAATAAGCCTGGGATAAGCGTGAGCTGCCCTCAGCGAATGGCCACTTTCTAACACGGGAGAACATTCTGGAAGCGTACCCAGCCGCCAGCTGCTGGCAGACACGTGCTCAAGGGCAGGGTCGCTACATTTTGTAGGGTTTATTTAGAGAATTAAAAAAAAAAGTCTTGTGGTAAAGCACAGTGGATGTTTGTCATATAAAATAGCAAACAGCCTACGAAGGAAAGGAGAAATACTCCTACCCACTGCTCTGCATTTGGGGTAATTCCCCCCCACTTTTGGTGGTGTGGCCATCTCAGAGTGCCTGGCAAAGGGACTTCCACCCGCATGTTAGGCTCAGAGAGCTCACGAAGGAGGTGAAAAGAGGTTTATGAGGTTGACAACACTCTGAGAACCGCGAAGGGCGTGGCCGGGGGTCTGTGGCCTCCGTCTTTCGACAGTTAAGACGAAGCGAGCGCCGCGGAGTTCAGCGGACGCGCCTGCACGCCCGGCGTGACTCTGGACCGCACGGCCTGGCTGTGCTGTTCCTTCAGGCGTTCGTTTGCAGGCACAGCGGTTGCCAACCTCTCGTGGTGTGCCCTCCTGACCCTGGGGTCTCTCATTTGTAGCCGTGACTCTCCGAGAAGACGGCGCCAGCAGACTGGAGAGGAGAGCGCGCCGCGTCTCTGCCTGCCTGTCGGATTACTCGCTGGCCAGCGACAGCGGGGTGTTTGAGCCTCCCGCCAAGAGGTCAGAAACTGGTCTTACTCTTTCCTGCTCCCTCTGCGGGGTGACAGGGCACTGCTGGGCACACGAGGGAGGCCACTCTGACTTCTGTGGGGGGCGATTACATTGTTAGCTCTGGGGTGGGGTCTTCTCTGTAACTCCGGGAGGCTGGGCGGACCAGGAGCTGCTCCCGAGAACTCTCTGGCTTCTCAGTGGCATGTGAAGCTGATCCCATCCTGAGTCTCAGGAAGACTCCTTTCTCTCTGGCCTGCTGGAGGCCAAGCTGAGGCTGAGTGGAGGTAGAAAGGGAGCCTTGGTGTGTGAGAGAAACCTGCTTTCTAGAAGGGACATCCACTAGAAAGAAACTTCTTCCTCCTGCCCTTCTTTTCCCAGCTGTAGGGGCCCCCCTCGCAGTGACAGACAGCTCCTGGGCTCCTGGGCTCCTGGGCTCTATTTTGAGTTCCCGTCACTGCAAGCAGTAACACGACATTTCACTCACGGCACCCTCTTTGCAATGTACTTCTGAACTTTGTCCGGAATGTCACATGTGCTTTGGAAAGGTCTACAAGGTTATTTCCTCAAAAAACAACAGATACCCGATGAGATTACGCCCCAGGCCCCAGCACCTGCCCTGCCTTCTGTCACTTAAGGAATTTATTTTTCACATGACACATTAATAAAGCTCTCTTCCCGGAGGAGCACCCCTCAATGCCAGCACGTGTTTGCCCAACACACAGCCGCCAGGTCCCTTTGGATGATGGGTGGCTTTCTGTTGTGTTCAGGAGCGAAGACGCAGAAGAGTCTGCACCAGTGGACGCCTTCATGAGCGAAGGGCCCCAGATCCACGTGGGATTTTTGTGAGTACAGCCACCTCCTCCCTGTGGCTCGTAAGGACACCCTGTAGCTGGGGCCTGCCCAGCAACTCCCACCTCTCTGTACAGGCGTAGTGGGCTGGGGCACTCCCAGCCGCTTCATCTGGCCTGGCTGAGGGGCCAGAGGTGGCAGGAAGGAGATACAAGGACAGGCAGCCCCAGTGCTGTCTTCCAACACAAGAGTCACAGCTGGGAACTGTCGCCTGCTGGAACTGGGGGAAATTCTCGCGCTTTCTGCACGAGCTGAGTATGTTGGCCACAATAGAGGTAGCTGGGCCCTTCCCGTTGGGCCCAGGTGTTTGTGAGGCGAGGCAGTTTCAACAGAGGCAGGACCACTCCTTCCAGACTTCCCCGGCAGGGTCTCGCATCCCGTGGCTTCCTCTGCTCACCCTGGTCATCCAGGTCCAGTGTTTGACCTCTGGGACCCGGTCATCTTGCGTGGTGTGCTGGGCACTGCAGGTTGGGGAGCAGCACCTCTGCTCCCCAACCTTGGATGCCACGTCTCCAGACACAGCTCATGTGCCCTGCGTGGGCGAGACCTCGTCACCCTCAGGTTGGGGCGCTGCTGCAGTGGAACGAGGAGTCGCCACCGTGGATGCATCTGCCTTGACCTTGCCTTGCGTTTCTAGGCATGACTGCGCCGGGGAATGTCTGCTCGTGCACGTGCTGCAGCTGAAGCACTCCGCCCGCCTGCTGGTTCGAGAGGACTGCAAAATGTAAGCCCCTGCGCCCCGCCCAGACCTTCCCCGGAGAACGGCCACCGCGTGCTGGCCTCCTCGGGCTGGGCGGTTTGGGGAGGGAAAGAGACTGTCTTATTTTAGAACGTGAATTTACCATACACACCAGGAAACTTCCGTCTGAAATGTAAGGGAATGTCAGTTTTTAAGGGTTGAATTTGTCCTCTGAGGCAGAAGCTCTCCGAGTCTGGCTGGTCCCACGCTGCAGCCCAGCTATGGGTGCTATATTCGGCAGCCCTGGGGTTTCAAGTATCCGAGCCAGTGAGAGGCCGCACAGGCCTCTGGCTGTGATCCGGGCCTGTCTCAGGAAAGCAGTCTGATATGGGTGCCCGGCAGGGGCCAGGCAGTGACTGCTCTGTCCTGGTGAAGCCCAGGGTAGCTCCCTTTCACCAGGCTTGGAAGCAGGTGTGAAGGCCTGCGGAGCCCCCTGGTCTCGGGGCAGCGCTTGACCACGGCACTGGCTCCCCGACAGCGTGCTGGGCAGCGCTAACCATGGTTGGGGCATCTGGGGGGACGGGGCGGGACAGCCAGGCGGTCTTTCTCTCTGTGAACGGTTTCCCCCCAAATCTCCAGGGCATGGAAGTTCTTTGCCTGACTCTTACTTGAGGAAAGGGCTCTGCAGTTCCGCCCGTGGGCATCACAGAGGGGATCGGGGAAGCGGGTTCATGCTTTTGCTCTCGCGGATACGTCCATGCCTCACATCCCTCCCCCGGCTCCCCCCGCCTCTGGTTCCAGACACATCCGTGTCTATCTGCCACCACTCGACTCCAGCACACCAAACACGTACTGCTCGAAGGCTCTGGAAGTCCACGCTCCTCTGGTATTTAATGAGGTGTTCAGAATCCCCGTGCATTCAAGCATGTCGGCCTTGACGTCGCTTCAGCTCTACGTGTGCTCGGTGAATCAGCAGCTGCAGGAAGAACTGCTGGTACAGCTCCTGCTCGCGCTGCCTCCGCCGCCCCTGCCCGCCTCCCGCCTTCCCTGGGCCGGCGGTCTGGCCGGTCTCCCCACTCTGACATTCGGCCTCTCTGCTCCCACCTTCTGCCCTCGCCCCCGTCTCTCCGTCCAGTCAGCCTTTCCCTCACCTTCCGCCTTCCCGCTGCTTAGAAGCTGTCCTGGGAAGCAGCGTCCGTGGGGACGGAGGGGGCTGGGAGAGCCAGCTGTCTGTCAAGCGGGAAAGCCGGGAGTTTCTGTGGCTGGGGAGAGAGCGGGTCGCGCCCCGACAGCGCCCTCTTCAGACGTTGCTGAGAACTGCCGACCTTCGCGCAGCTGGCGCTGCGGGGCAGAGGGGCGCTCATTCTGTGCCCGTTTGCCTTCTCGCCCTTTCTCACGGGGTTGACCAAGCAGTCAGGGAGACACCTCCGTAGGATTCTTTGCAACTCCTTTCATTGTACTTCAGCCCCCGAAGAGCAGGGACACATTTGATGCCCCTCCTGGCTAGGGCAGAAGCTGACCCGGGTGGTTGTCAAGGTGACATCACTCCGTGCTGTTCTCTCTCTAACTCCCTGCAGGGCATCGCTCAGATTAATTTGGCCAACTATGACGTTTCGAATGAAATGCAGCTGCGGTGGTACTCAGTCCAGATGTTCACCAGCCCCGAGCTGCCCAGGGAGAGGGACAGCCAGCGCTCCGGGGACAGCGCGCCCCGGGACCCCGCGAGTCCCGCACACGGCCCCTGTGGCGCCGGGAAGACGGTGAGTGGCCCGGCTCGGGGAGCCCGCCCGCCGCCCTGCTTTCCTGACCTTGGCGCTGGCCTGCCCCGCGGAGATGGTCTCCAGGAGCGGCGGGTGGCCTGGCGGTCTTAGCATGTCGTGTAAATGGAGCGTCACGGGGGTGATAAACATGGGCGCAGCGACTGGACCGTTTGGAGGCGGCGGCTTTCGTGCCGGCGTGCTCGTGGTGGTGCATTTGAGCCCAGTGGCGGTGTTGTCAGTGGGGCGAGCGTGTCCCCATGGAAGAGCCATCGGGGTGCCGGCGCCGCACGCCCCCAGCCGTGCCCCGGGCTGATGCCGGGTGGTGCAGCCGTGGCGGGGGCGAGCGGGCTCGAGCGCGTGCTCCTTCCCCAGGACGCGGTGACGGCGCTGCTGGCGCGGACCACGGCGCAGCTGCAGGCGGTGGAGCGGGAGCTGGCGGAGGAGCGGGTGAGGCTGGAGCACGCCGAGGAGGAGATCCTGGAGCTGGAGCGCAAGGAGGAGCAGGCGGAGGCCGTGTCTGAGAGGTGGGGCCGCCTCGGTGGCGCCCGGGCAGACCTGGCGGCTCCGCTGGGGCGGGGGTCGGGGGGCGGCGGCAGTGGCCAGTTCAGATGCTGTTAGTACAGTCACGGGGCCATGCCTCCGGCACCACAGTCAATCTTAGGGTGTTTTCTTCACACTAGAAAGAAACCCCATTAGCTGTCACCCCGCCCCCTTCCCTCTGTCCCTGGCCGCGTGCCACCCAGCCATCTCTCTGCCTGCCTGTCCCGGCCGTGTCCCCTTCGGAGTCACACGCTGATCCAAGCGGCTGCTTGCGGAGCCTTGGCCGGGGTGGCCCTGTCCACAGTGGAGACTGGCGCCCGGCCACCCGAGCATCAGTGCTGCCTCAGCCTCCCTGCAGACACAGGAACCTTGGGGTGGGGAGTCAGAGGTGGGCCCTTCAGCGGCTCCAGGGGGTGATAAAAGTGGACCCTCTTAACAAAAAGCTGTAGTGGTGTTCCGAGAAAACAGGCCTTTTACTCAATGACAAAGGTGGCTGTGCTCAGCCCTGCAGCAGACGGGCCTGGCTGCGCGGGGCCTGCTTGGTGCACCTTCTCCTGAGCCTCTCCTGGACTTTGACGATGTCCACCCTCAGGAGCTGGCAGGCCGACTCAGTGGACAGTGGCTGTAGCAGCTGCGCGCAGACCAGCCCCCCGCACCCGGATCCCTGCTGCAGTGGCGTCGACCCCCCCCATGGACATCCGCTTCCTGGCCCGGCTGACCCTTGCAGCCCCGAGAGACTCCAGCCTCCGCCTCTGAAGGTGAGTGGAGAGGTTGGGGGACCGACGGGGCCCCTGGGGCTTTGCTGTGCACTGGGCGCTGCCCTGGAAGGAGGCACCAGCCCTTCCGGGAGCCGCGAGGAAACTGGGTGGAGACCGGAGCGATGCCCTGGTGTGCAGGAGGGGGACTGGGCCTCGGGCACGCTGGTGACCGGTGCCCACGGAGCGGTGTGGTGAGCGGCCATGGCTCACGCGCTGGCTAACAGCGGGCCGGGGAGAAGGGGCTGCATGGATGCGTGGCGCGCCAGCCAGTCAGAGCCCCCAAGGGGAGCGGTGACACAGAGGTGGCTGTTTCTGTGAAGCTGATGCTTGTGTTCGAGAGAAAGTCATGGTGATAGGAGCAACTCTCTAGGTTGACAAGGAAACCAACACAGAAGACCTCTTCCCCGGAGGAGTAGCCGGGGTGCTGAAGGAGCGGCCCGGCCGCAGGGCCCGCGGCTCGCCCTTTGTGCGGAGCAGCACGATCGTCCGCTCGCAGACGTTCTCTCCTGGGGCACGAAGCCAGTACGTGTGCAGGGTGAGTGCAGCGTCTTTGCCGCCCGCCTGGTGCGCTCTCCCCCGACCCTTTGTTGTGTTTTACTTTTTACTAGTCACACTAAAAGACGTGTGTTCTCCCAAACCATAGCACTGAACGAGCTCTGGGCATGTGTGGCTGTGAACTCGGTCACACACGCGCACGCGCACACACACACAAACACACACACCCACACACCCGTGCACATCTGGCCCTGATTTCCTCCAGACTCTGCACAGTTCTCCCCCGACATTTAGTGTTGGACATGCACCTGCCGGTGGGGGTTATGTCCACGTCAGTGTCAGGGAATGGCCAGTGGACACGGGCTGCCCTTACCCCAGCTGAGACTGGGCGACCCGGCACCTCTGAGTGGCTGGAAGTCCTGATGTTGGGTTCCCTGGGAGGACAGCACCTTGAAGATAGTGGACTTCAAGCTGATTGCCTGCCTGGCTGACCTGAGTCCCCAGCCCCTCCAGAGGTTAAGCTGATGACCTCCACCTCCACCCCCAGTTCATCACACTGTTAGCAGAGACTGTGGGGCCTGGTCCAAGGTCCTCAGGTAAACAGAGACACTTATGCAGGACATTCTACGGGTGTACAGGTCCCTCCAGGGAACTGGGCCCAGGCCCCAACCTTCCTTGGGCCAATGGTGGTCCTCTTCTGTGACAGCAGGGCCTGTGGCCTGGGTGGCCCCAACTGCCCCCTGCCATGTTGGCGAGGCTGTGATCCGCTCACTCCCTCCGCCATGTCTGGAGGGCAGCTGCCTAGGCCAGGCCCCAGGCCTGGTGGCAGGGGGTGCTGTATCGAAGGCCATCCTCATGTCTTTTCCTTATTCTAGACTCTTGTCAAACCACCACAGAGCTGGCTCATGGCTGTTTACTTAGGTGGATGGGGTGACAAAGGAGGAAATCCCCAGGAAAGGTGTCCCCCACCCTGAGCTGACTCAGCACCCTGCATGAAGTGGGCCTTGATTGGGGATGTCTTCAGAGATCCCCTTGTTTTTACATGTTTGTAATAGGGTGCTGTGACTGGCTTGGAAAATAAGGCCCTGCAGGCCAGGACTTTGGTATTCACACAGATACACATAGATCCTGAAGCAAGACCCCGCCGCCACGGAGAAGGCCTGTTCACTTTCCGTTGGAAAAGCAGACCTTATCCTTGACCTTGGTGGTGATGGTATGTCCTGCCACCAGGAACGAGTTCTTTGGTGGAAAGCCATTTTTTCTGGCCCAAGCCAGAAATGCAGCAAGACAATGATGGAGGACAGCAAAGGCGCCGAAGCTGCGCTGGCTGTGGGGAGTGTCGTGCGCTCTGTCCAGACAGCTGGTGTTGACGGGGACAGCGCTTTTGTTAACTCGATTAGCTGGAAGCTTCATGTGGTGTGGGTGAGGGCCATGAGGGCGGGTCTTGCTGTTTCAGTTTGTCTTTCGTTTTACGTGAAACTCTCGTGTGGCTTAGTTGTAACTGGTGAAAGCACCGCAGGTCTTAAGTGACGGCGAGCAGCGATGGAATCCTGCGGCTCAGAGCCCAGGCTCAGCCGACGTGAGCGCCTCAGAACACGTTTGTGAACGTCATTCTTTTTGATGCAGCTCTATCGTAGCGACAGCGACAGTTCCACGCTGCCCCGGAAGTCCCCCTTCATCCGGAATACTCTGGAAAGACGAACGCTTCGCTACAAGCAGGTGTGTGCCGCGTAAACTAATAATCTGTACTTACCCTGGGAGCTATGTTTAGAAGCCTTCAAAAGCAGTCTTTTAGGTAATATTAAAGGTAATATATTTATTTCTTTACTGAAATGTGATTTTTGAAAGTGCCTATGTCATAATATTACGGATTTTTCTTGAATTTAAGATATGATTTAAGAGAGCTCATTACTTTGAGTATTTTACATACTGCATATTAGGAAACACTCAACTCTTCTCTATAAAAGCGTCTTTTTCCTTCTTGGCTGGAGCGTGCAGAGTTCCGGAGATCGGGCTTTGCCCACACCGCACAAGCTTCTATGTAGGGCTGGTCTGGGGTCTTCCTTCCCCTCAACCACCAGGATTTCTGTCCACATCACATCAGTGGCACAGCTCTGCTGCGCTTTCCAAGCATGAACCCTCTTGAAGGATCATCGCAAAGCCCCTGGACGCATGAGGTGGTTGTGTGTAGCGCAGCCACTGGCAGCGCCAGCCGGACACGCGGGACTCGGCCTCGCCGGTATTTCCCAGCAGCAACGCTGTTGGCATTAGGGGCCGATGGCTCTGCTGCGGGGTCACCCTGGGCACTGGGACGTTGAGCAGCATCCCCGGCCTCTACCTCCCAGATGCCAGTAGCAACCCCCTGCCGTTGTGACGACCAGGAACGTCTCCAGACACGGCCAGAGGTCCCCAGCGGGCCAGGCCAGCCTGGGTGCAGAGCCGCTGAGCTCCGCTGTGAATTCGGCAGTGCTTTGAAATGAACTTGCCGTTTTTAGAATACATCGTATTTGCACTTAGAGTCCGTATATGTGTAAAATACTGTGTGTGTAAAAAGCAGTGACCTGCCCACCGCACACTGCTGTGAGCTCACGGAGTCATGATTTTTGTGGCCGTGACCCCGTCCAGGCCGTTCCCGTCAGCTGGAGCGCTGCTCTCGGCACCACATCCGAGCGCTCTTCTCTTAGACTGCCTGGAGGCTTTTACGGGGAGCAGTCTTGGCGGGTGCGTGCATGTCCACACGTGTGCTGCCTGGGTGTGTAGATGCAAGTTTTTAAACAGAAAACACTTACGGTTTATGACATGCTTTGCCCCTGAGTGGGTTAGTAAGATTTTTCCATGTCAATTTTTTTTTTCAACTTTTTACAATGGCTGCATTTTTTGCTGGCCATGTCATTTATTTAATCACCTTCCTCTTGTTATGTATCTAGTGATCTCATTTGGATCACTCCCACGTGTCATCAGTTACGCTTCTCAAACACAAGACCAGAGGAATTGCAGAACCGAAGGAAACGTGCATCTCTTTTGCCTTTTGATAGACATGGCCAAGTAGTCCTTCAGAGGGATGCCTGCTTTTGATCCCACTAGCCCCATAACAGAGCAGCTATTTCTCCACACTGTCGCTGACCCATAGGTTATCATCAAAGAAAACAGCTTACTGTCAGTAATGATACTGAACTGGTGATTTCAGTCAGTCTGGCCCAAATCTATGGTTTGGTTTTCCCTCCCTCCCTCCCTCCCTCCCTCCCCCCCTCCCTTCCCTTTCTCATTGTGCTATACAATAACTGGGCTTTGCCTGTCTTCTGCTGATATTGAAGAACCTTCTAGAAGGCTGTGCTTGCTGGCCGCCTGGTGCCGACCCGCTGGCCTGCCTGCTGATGACTGTCGTCTCCTGCAGTCCTGCAGGTCCTCCCTGGCCGAGCTCATGGCCCGCACCTCCCTGGACCTGGAGCTGGATCTCCAGGCGTCAAGGACTCGGCAGCGGCAGCTGAACGAGGAGCTGTGTGCCTTGCGCGAGCTGCGGCAGCGGCTGGAGGATGCCCAGCTGCGCGGCCAGACCGACTTCCCGCATTGGGTGCTGCGGGACGAGCGCTTCCGCAGTCTGCTGAAGGAGGCAGAGAGGCAGGTAGGAGGCCAGGGCCTGCTGCCAGGTCCTCTGGCAGCCCGAGTTCTGCCTGGCCTCGGCCCACCGCCCTTGGCTCCAGTGGTACTGGGGCCCCTGAGACAGCAGTTCAGCTGGCAAAAGGGGCATTTCAGCCACCCCGTGCGCCCCAGGAGCCGGCCCTCTCCCTCGCGGCGGGGGTGGCACCAGCATACATCTGGAAACCCGGCCGCTTGAGGGAGGGTCTCTGGCCCTCCTGCCGGCAGGCCCACTGGCCACTCGGCGCTGGAGCGCCTGTGCAAATGCCTGGGGGAGGGGAGGGGACCCCAGCACCGGGTTTGGCTTCACCCATCCCTCCTTAAAACTAGAAGTAAAGCATCTCGTTCCCCCACGGTTGCCGTTCCAGACAAGACAGACCAAACTTGACTTCCACCAAGAGCAGGCAGCTGAGAAGATGCTGAAGAAGGCCTCCAAAGGCATCTGCCAGCTGCGCGGGCAGAACCACAAGGAGCACGTGCACGTGCAGACCTTCAGGTGGGGGCCGCGGCCGCGCAGCACAGCGCCCTCCTGCCCGCTGTCCGCTGCTCCCGCTTCCTGCGGCCCTGCGGGGGGCCGTGTTTCTTCTGATCGTTGTTGTCGGAAGGCAACGGTTTCGTTCGTGCCACTTGCGTTTTATCATGTGGGTTCAGTTTTACACTTAGCGTTTGAAAAGTTCAAATATCCCGCGTTGCCGCCATCTTATCTTTTTGGCTGGCATGCCCACCTCCTAGATAGAATTTCCACAGCTGTTTTATAAGCTGCTTCCTTCCAGCCACTCACTGTTGTAAACGATGCTGATCGACACACAGATACGCACACATACGTGCCGCCTTTGTCTTTTTCACTGAAGCCTAATACATGGCAGGCAAGGGCGCGCATCCTATATGTGATACAGCCCAGTGGATTATCACAAACCGCATGACAAGAACCCAGCATGAGCAGCACCCCAAGACCCCCACACCAGAGTAACCGCTGTCTTGAATTTCACTAGCATAGGTTTGCTTTCCCTGTTCTTGTTGTTTATAAGCGGAGAATCGCATGGTTTTATCCGTATTTTTTAAATATCTATATTCTTTCATGTCTGACTTTTTCAAAACTTGAGGTGAAAACCACATAGCAGAAGCAAACCGTTTCAAGGGGGCAACTCGATGGCATTTAGTACGGTCACCAGGCACCTGCCCCTCCGTTCAGTTCAAACCATGTCCACCGCCCCAGCAGGAAACCCCGCACCTGAGCGCTCCCTCCCCGCTCGCCCTTCCCTCCCCAGCCCCGGCAGCCACCACTCCGCTTTCTGTCTCTGGGTTTGCTGTTTCTGGGCCTTTCCTGTCAGCGCGTCTGGTCTCACACCTCACGTTGTAGCGTGTCTTGGAACTTCATTCCTTTTTATGGAGGGTAATACGTGCCTGGCTTCTAATTTTTGCGTGCCCTGAATTTTTACATCTCTACCATAAAGGGCATAAAAATCTACAACTAATGTCCTTCATTTATGATTTGAAAGTCTCCCACGTGTGTAGTTTTCCCTTCCTTCATTTACTAATAAAGCGAATATTTACTTCACACCAGGCACCGTAGCAGGCCCTGGCGGCAAACAAACGCTTGCCCTCCTGGGACTTTGTCACGTCTGTTAACATTAGAGAATCTGTAAACAAACAGGTGTGTCGTCGGGGACTTGGGGTCAGTTTCTTTATGAGTAAGAAAAGCTATCATTGCCCCTACAGCCGTCTGTCGGCCTTCGGGGATCAAGATCAGCCTCTAACCTGTCTTCTCTCCAATCCCAGGGAGAAGATAGCATTTTTCACCAGACCAAGGATTAACGTACCTCCTCTGCCCGCCGACGACGTTTGACCCAGTGCTTTGTCATGAAGTATTTATCTGCCCGTGTCATTTTCATGAAGTCCTTAGATTAGTTACATTTGCCTTTAAAATATTTGTGCAAAGCTATTAATATACACATTTTGTAAAAATCAAAACAAACACATGTATCTACACATATATATTTTATAATAGTGACGACAACAGGGCGCGGTTCTTCCTTGTTGTGAAATTGGCATCTCTGAAGACAGGTTATTTTATAAAAGATCAGCTATCATGTTAAGAGTGTACAGTTTTTACACTGTTTTATTTGACTTAAAGGCTGGAAGACAGAAACGAAGTGAGTTCAGGCAAATTCACTGTATTGTAATTTATTTATAGTACTTTTTTTTCCTTGAAGGAAAATACTGACTTTAAGATGTATTTTGAGACTGAATGTTGCTCTTCAGGACTTGTCACGCAGTAGAATGGAACTCTGGGGCGCTTTAGTTTCTGACACCGGAAACGCAACACTATGTGCTGAGTTCGTCACTGTATCTGTCTCGTGAGCGCATGTGTGTGTGCACTGAACACTTACGCGCCGTGTCCTGTTCAGACACCCGCGGCGGCGGCCCACGCGCCCCGGCGCAGGCCGAGCCGGCCCCCTGCGCGCCGAGCGCCCCACGCTCGGGTCCCGCCGCTTCCCGGGCCCCGAGGCCGCAGAGCCCCGGCGCCCGGGTCGCTCCTGCCTGGCCTGTGGCTGTCCACACTGCCCCCCTGAGCGGACTGCAGGCGGCCCCCCCTTCCAGCCCGCCCGTGTGATCAGGGTGGCGGGACGGTGGGGTGCTCCTGCTCGGTCACGCAGGCGCAGGAGAAGAGCCGGGCGAGCGCGCCAGTGAGTCGGCGCCCCCTGACCCCAGAGCAGCCCCCGCACAGGCAGGCTGACCCCTGAAATGCTTTCTGGTGGAGGGAAGCGGGTGTGGGCCCCTAGAATTACCCAGCCCGCCACTTACAGGAGAGGATTTGATTGCAATCGATAGCCCCTCATCCTGGAGTCTACCCAACATTTCTCAAGAAATCGTAGAACTAGCTCTGAAATTTTTTATGTAACAAAAATAAATCATTATGCTCTTAAAATGCCAAATGATATAAATATTTTGCCTAATACCTATTTATTTTATGTGAAATGCACTCTCCTTCCTGGCGCCCGGGAGGTGGGCCTCGTGAAATGTACAAGAAGCAGAACTCCTGCCTCGCCGCTCTGCCCCTCCCTCGGAAACGCCCCGTAATCAGCATCTCTGTCCGCCTTCGTCTGGCATCCCGCCCCTCGCGCCCCTCGCGCAGCTCCCCTTCCCTTTTACTTTTATTGAAAATGAATTTTGTAAAAGCGTTTCGTTGCCATGGACAACGGCTCTTGTCGGTGGTGGTAGGACCGAGCGCTGCTTTCGCGAGGTCGTCTATGTATTTCTGCCTCTAGCTCATCTTTTTTGCTTGTATTTTTCATGGCCAAATTCTCTGTATACACCCCACAACAGAGGCCGAGCCCCAAACCGCGGGTCCTCGCCAGCGCTGCCCACTGGGGCTCAGGCCTGCCGGCCGCCCTGGACATGCTGCTGGGCGCTTGATGACAGCTGCCGAGGCCGCTCCGTAGGCGCTTGGGGGTGGGGAAGGGGGCATTTTTCTGCCAGCCCCTGTTAGGTAGATAGCAGTGTGGGGGAACCCCGTGTGCCGATCCTCCACGCCCTCAAACAAGGCCTTTCCAATCCATCCACTGCCGGGCGTGTGCAGGCCGCCTTTGGACACGCGGGGTTCCCCCACCGCAGGGTTCAGACCCAAGCGCCCGCCCTGGCCCTGCCAGACACAGACCCAGCCCCTGCTCTGGTCTGAGGCCGGAGCCCCTGTCCTCGCCTCGCTGGGCCGCTCTGCCGCCCCTTGGCGGGTCCGCTGCACCCCTGACCCGAGGGCCAGGACGGGGCGAGCGCCGGGTCAGCGGGACCGCCCGCGGGCAGGCCACGCGGCTCCTCCTCGGCTTCCAGCCCTGACTTCCAACTGCCCTGTCGCCAAGGGGCTGGTCCTGCGCCCACGTGAGACACTGCGGGGCCCGCCGGCGCCTCTGGCCAGGAGCGGCCCGACTTCGCCTCTGGCCTCCGGAGGACCGCGGGTCCCCGCTGCCGTCTCGGCCGCTTCGAATCACGAGTCACCGCGGACCGAAGGCGCCTTCTGTTGGGGAGAACCTGCCGGCAGTATTCATCTCCGTCTCCTCTGTCTCGTCGCTGTCCTCAAGTTGTGTCATGTGTACTGTTGGTCATGTCTGCTAGAAAATTAAACTAACCTACCTGAAGACAGAGTGGAAATGTGTGATTTTTAAAATGTTGACTCCCAGAGACGGCGCAGCTAGCGGGGATGTCGTTCCGCAACGTGAACATCGAGGCAGGAAAGTGGGAAGGGCGAGAGGCGCGCGTGCCCGCCCTGGCCGGGCGCGCTCGGGCGACATCCCTACCTCCCTCCCCTCCCGTCTTGCGGAACGAATCCCACACACCCTGTCACTTCAGCTGTGAGTCTCTCTGCTGAGAAGAGACGCGCGTGCACGACGGCCTCCCGCAGCTTCGTGTCCAGTAGCTCCCTAGCGCCCTTCAGGACCAGCTCACCTTGCCGGTGGTCTGAGTCACCCAAATTTTTTAATTAAATGTAACCCAAATATCCAAGTACTGGGGTTTTTTGTGTGCCTTTTTGGGATAACAGCTTTCTTGCAATATAATTCACATAAAATTCAGTCGTTTCTTAGTCCAAGTTGTACACATGTCGCCATAATTATTGTTCAGAATATTTTCATCAGCACCCCAAAAAGGTTGCCTCCCCACTGCCCCCTCCCCCCAGCCCCTGGCCACCACTTACCTACTTTCTAGAGATCGGCTTCTTGGGGACATTTTTCGTAAACGGAGCCGCGTGGCCTTTTCTGTCTGGCCTCCTCGCGTGAGGGCCTCCCGCCCCGTGGCACAGAGCCAGCCGGGCTTTGTTTCTTTCTCCGCTCACCATCCATAGTTGATGGACTTGGGGTGGCTCCCGCTCTTGGGTTCTGAAGACGCCGCCGTGACCAGCTGCTTGCAGGCGAGGCTGTGGCCCTGTGTGTTCGTTTCTCTTAGGGCTGTACCTGACAGTGGAATGACGGGGTGAGCGGGGAGCTATGGCTAACCTTGTGAGGAGCCCCCGGACTTTTCCAGACAGTGGTGTGCCCCACTTGACATCCTCCCCGGTGGTGCACGAGACATTCAGCTCCATGCCCCGGCCAGCACTTGCGCGTAGTTCTGATGGCGCCACCCCAGCGGGGTGAGGGAGCGCGTCACTGTAGTCAGGTCTGTTTTTAATCTACAGGACCTGCCGTCCCCACCCCGCACACGCACACTCCCTTGTAGGTTGTTGGAAAAATAAGGTACACAGCTGCCTTCTCCCCGATGGATAAATTACAGTGCCCCCTAAACACACTCGTCCAGCTTTTTTCATTTCAAGACACAGTATGTCCTTGTTTGAGGGCGTGGGAAACTGTCACTTGAAGCAAAACAACATATAGTGAAATCAGGTGCTTGCATGACGGCCTGAATTGGTTTTTCTCATCACCATTATCACCAAGCGATGCTATTGGGGGCCTACTGTGTGTATCTCAGAGATCATCAAGATCTGTATTGACTGCTGTGACAAACAAGTGGCTTTTTTCTCAGTTCTAGAAGCCTCAAATCTGAATCCAGGAGTGCGTGGTGCTGTGCTCCCTCCTCGCGCTCTAGGGGTGAATCCTGCCCACTTCTTGGAGCCTTGGGGCTGCCTGCGATCCTTGGCATGCCCAGGTCTGGGGCGCCACCCCTGTCCCCATCTTCACGACACCCTGTCTGTATCTGGTGGGTTTAGGGCTCACTCATGACCAAGGACCCCCCCATCTTGCGAGCCCTAACGTAACTAGCTCGGCAAAGTCTATTTTCTGAGCCCGGTTCCATGCAAGGCTCCGGGTGCAGTTCTCTGCTGGAGAGCCACCGCTCAGCCCAGCCCAGCCGCCCCACGCCACGGTCCCCCAGGCAAAATACATCCCCAAGCCTCCCCCCAGGGCAGTCCTGCTTCCCCTCCCCCAGGCCCACTGCCGGGCGTAGATGTGCCGGGTTCGGGTTCGCACCAGCTGGGTTCGGGTTCGCACCAGCTGCTGCTGTTTCCCCCTCTCCTGCTGGTAAACAATGCGGGAGCAGTGAACCCCCCTGCAGACATCATGTTTTTGCCAGGGTTTCTGTGGGCTACACCCCAGAAGTGGGGGCCTCCGGGTCAGAGCCCATGGGACTGGGTGTCGCCACAGTCTCTCGGGGGAGAGTCTGGTGTCCTCGCCAGCCACCCCGGCAAGAGCGTCCCGCACGTCCGCACCGGGGCGTCACGCTGGGGGTCCGCGGAGGAGCCACTCGGGTTTTGCTGCTGGAGGAGGCCGCTTCAGTTATGGGCGCTCGATGGTTTGTGATCAAGTCTCCCCGGCCGGCCCGCCTTTCGTGTTCAGTGTTTTCCTGCCTATTCTTGCTCGTTTGCTCCTATTGGTAAGAACCGTCCTGGCTCCAGGGGAACGACGGCGTCCCCGGGCTGCGGTACTCTGCGAGCAGGGCGAGCTGGCGGCTGCCGCTGCTGGAGCCTCTTCCCCTCGAATGCGTTTCCATCCGTGCGAGCCTCGTTCGGTGTCCTTCGGCAGTGCGTCCCCGTCTCTCTTCTACTCTGGATATTTCTTACACGTTTTGCTGATTTTCTCTCTTCCCATAAAGACAGAAAATAAAGATAAACGCACGCCCCTCCACGGCTGCAGAGCCCTTGTCCAGACTGCAGTGAAAAAGCCAGTGCTTCTGCCTGCGGTGAAAGGTTGGCTTTAGCGCGTTTCTCCCCCCCCCACAAACACACACATTCTCCCTCAATATCGCGCACACACTGCCAATGTGAAGGATGAATCCATCAATTTCTTTTTTCTTGAGTGTTTTTAGCACGAAAGCGTATTTGATTTTTTTCCAGATTTCTCCGTCTACTGAGGTGACCATGTGATTTTCTGGTGTAGCCCTCACACACTTGGTCATATGACGGATTTCCTTAAGAGACCCCTCCCTTTGCTTGAGGAAGGTAAACTTTTTTTTTTTTAAAGATGTATTTATTTATGCACACAAGA